GAAAGATGTGTCACCATCCAAGCAAGTCGGCTACGATGTTGACACTCGATGGAACTCAACCTATATCATGATAGCGGACGCCCTTCGGCTACAGAAAGAACTTGGACAGTTTGTCCGGATGCATCCAGAAGTTCACGCCCTTCAAATAAACGAGAACGAATGGTCGATTCTTCAACAAGTAGCGAAGGTTCTTAAGCCATTCTGGGATCACACCAACTCGGTATCAAAATCTTGTCCGACGATTGTTGAGAGTTTGCCCATCTATTGGAGTCTAGACGACCTCCTTGACGAGGTTCAAAAGGCCGAAGGTGATTTTGAAGATGTTGATACCGAGATCCGGGATGCGGTGGAACGAGGAATCCAAAAGATGAACAAATTTGCAAGGAAGATGGACACCAATCTTCTTTACTACGTGGCGTCCGTCCTGGACCCGCGTATTAAATCGTCTTTGATCGGATCGCAGATGAGCGAGCAAGATGCGGGACTGATCATCTCTCAAGTGCGGGAGTTCTTAAAGAGGGAGTATCCGCACGAGTTGTCCATGTCGTGTATAGTGGATCGCCCGCCGGGAATGTCCGAGACTATGTGGAGGACGCTGCGAAAAGTACAGCCATCGCAGCGGACGCTTCTTTCAGACATTGATAGATATCTAGACGCGCCACCCGTGAGTTGGTCCCACCATATGATTGATGATGCAGACGAGGAATGGGTTCTCAAATGGTGGAAGGCGAATGTATTTAGCTTTCCACTCATGGCAAAGGCAGCTCGAGATTACCTGCCAATTCCATCAGCGGAGGTAGGGATTGAACGCGAGTTCAGCAATGCCAGAGATGTATTGGGACTCAGAAGACACTGTCTAAATGCGGAGACTATGCGATGGCTTATGCTACTTAAGGGACAGTACCAAAAATAGCGTTCCAAAAAAGTGATTGTGATAATATCAAGATTTATGGGAATATAACGTCTTAAAGATGGTGAACGCATTTGCGACAAGAGTCTTAGGCACATGTAATGGGGTTGCTGTATTGAGACGTAACAGCATGAACGGTAATGTATGCTCTCTCAGTATATGAATAAATATGATCATTCATGAATATTCATGAATAATGCAATATGAATATGCCTCTTATTCATATTCATATTATGCAATTCATATTATTCATATTCGCAAATATTCATGAATATTCATGAATGATCATATTCCTTTCGGAGCCCTAATCATCGACATCGTCAAGTAGTGGAGATAGACGATAGAGAATTTGAAAACATAGTTCTCCTGTTATCTCTAGACATAGGGTTTGTCTTCTCTACGATAATCTCTGTCCCTATGGCTAACGGAAGATAATTCCGTGCTCAGGGCACTACTAACAGCAGAGAATGCCATATCCCATTTCTACACAACTCTGTAAAGTGAGACACTAGGCCAAACCTCTCCTTCTTTCTCATATAAGAGTAACGAAGAAAATCACTTTCGATCTACAGTCTATCTGAGGAGTGGTGTTAATAGTTCGTTACGAGTAGCGAAAGGGCGCCATTAGTAGGCCACAAAGCAGTCAGCACGACAGGATGCGGCTTTTCAGGCCATTCATACTTTACATCGCCAAAATCTCATCAATGACCATTTCCTTCCTTTGTTCCAGGATAATTCATAGGCTGAGATAAGTCAACAAAAAATAGTGGCTGCCGAACTGCCCTTAGTGGAGAATTTTATCAGCTTCTAGAAAGACATTCCAGGCCATTAGACCGAACGAACAATATACAGATATCGCATCGAGGTTTCTAAGAATAGAGAAGTACAATCAGATCTTACAATGGCTCTTTTTACACCAGTAAAGCTACCAATTGATACGAATGTGGACTTATATTAGGATAACCAAACAACTTTTACGGTAACATTGCAGCCCTTCAACCTTGAAACAGCGCTATCACCTTTTTTAAGGTCCGTCATACGGGAGATAACGACCTTATTATTCCATTCGACTCGCGGAAAATCCCCACAAGAAGATTATTCGGGGTTTCTTCCATTCTTTACTCCGGACCTCCCCTTAGAAGAGCTAGAAGACTAGCTTGATATCAATCGAGGATCCCTTGCTATTCGGAGTGAGCAAACTCGTATGCCTCTTCTTTCCCCTAGGGGCTTCATCCAAAGCCCTAAGTTTCATTTCACTCCCCACATCTTTGTGAGGTGGATTCGAAACCCAGATACAAGTGGATTTACAATCGAATGTCGACCGTTTGAAAAACGGCGGAACCTCATACAGCAAGCAATATTGGCCGATCAAATCTCCATACAAACTTTCACTAAAACAGCCTATATAGCTGCCACTGAATTCACTATTGACTTCCTGCCTTAGGAACTGGGTCGGACCAACCTCCTGATTCCGCCAATCATACAATTACTATTAGCATCTGATGGCGTAGTCTATACGCGTTGAAAGTTTTGGAGGTGTTCCTAAAATCGGATTGAGTTCTCTAGCGGAGGCAATCACATCTCCTTCTTCTCAATGGCTAGTAAATTACTAGCGACTAGAATTTTTGGGTGACTCTCTGATCAAGTTCTTGGTCTCTACGTATATCTTTCATACTTATCCTCGATGGTATGAAGGCTACCTATCAAAGATGAAGGATTTGCTGATCTCAAACGAGAGACTGACGCACGCGGCCGTGAGAGCTCACTTAGAACAATTTATCTACGCTGATTTTATCACGCGAAAACATCCAATCTTTTAGCAGAATGATAGAGATTCTGTAGACAAAGGGATTCCGAGAAAAGTATATGCTGATATAGTAGAAGCTCTCGTAGCCGCTGCCTATAAATATGGTAGAATTTCACTCTCCCGAAAGCTTGTCGGTATTTTTCTACCGGAGATTTCCGACTTCACGCTAATACCCTAAGAACCACTAAAGAAAACCTGCCAATTCCCGGTCTATTTGGAAATCAAACTTGACAAACTTCTTGGCTTCAAGTTTAAGAACCGGGCTCTAATCTGGGAGGCGCTCACACACCTATTATAGCAAAGAGACCAAACAACTAGGTCTTACTAACGGCTTGAATTCCTGGGAGATGCGGTTTTGGACTTTCTCGTTGTAAGAAGACTGCACGCTTAGGTTCTAAAGCTTGCGGAAGGACGAATGACTGAAATTCGAGCCGCTTTAGTAAATGCCGACTTCACCGAGACATGTTACTACGGGTAGGAGATAACGGTAGGCAATTTTAGGACGACCGTTCAACCAAGAAATACCGCATTATGGATGTTCATGCGACATAACGCTTCAGATGTTGTTAAGATGCAGACATCGTGCAGCAACATACATCGCATGCTTGGAGATACAATTAAGAAACCCCTAAAAAGTGGGCGCTCATATCCTTAGGCCACGCTTGCCCAGCTAAGAGCATCTAAGTTCTACTCAGACCTTATTGAGAGCACTATTGGGGCAATTTTCGTCGAAAGTGGAGGCGACCTGGATGCATGTGAACGCTTCTTGGAACGTATCGAGTTGATAGCTTATCTTGAGCGTTTCGCGGCGCATGATGTAGAGTTAGAATGCTATGGATCGTATCATGGGTACACGCAAGGCCGACTTTCGGGTGAAAGAAACCGAGAATAGTTTGCACGATATCTCTGTTTGGATGGAGGGTGAAGAAGTAGCGTCTATCAATCACTGTTCATCAAGAGCTGAAGCGTTTGTGCGAGCCGCCGAAGCGACGCTCTCGTTTTTGTCACGAACTTGAAATTAATTATAAGGAAAGGAAGAATTGATGAGACCAATTCCAAGACCGTTGAGTATTTCTCGGTATTCCTCAAAGGCCAGATTTTAAGAACTCCGGGTATTGCAGTGCAGGCCCTGGCATCTCGTTCAAGGAAGGAAACTGCCCGATGGCGGTGTCAGAAAACTTAAAACCCTAGTTCATGGGTAGGGTCCGGATGGTGAAATCTCGTTGGCTTATAATTTCCCTATCCCACGTGGGGGAGGAGTCAGGCTGACTCCAGGTTATGGTTTTCTGATAGAAATCTGGCGGTACGACAACGTATGGTCAAAAACAGATATATTGGGATCTCTGTCTAACTAAAAATGACAAAATCCGCTCTTTCAACAATCTGTGCGGATATCGATGACTAACTGTATTATGCACTTTTGTATGGTATGCTTGGTACCAGTTGTCACATGATTTTCTGATCTTAGTATTCGACATTTTCCCTTCGCTATGGGGACTTAAAAGTGGGGACACCCTGACTACTCTAGGTGTTTTTCACAACCTGACTTTTTTTAGCTCCGATCGCGCTTCAATTTTAGTAGTTTTTGACCAACTATCTAAATTGCAGTATGTGTGTGTGTGTAAATCATTTACCCTGACCCCTCGTCAAAGTTGCTTTGACCACTAGACCAAAATACGAATCCGCACCCAGCCTAGTGGGTTGTGGTTTAGAATCCAACTGTCGAAACGATATACTGTACAGGCTAGTTACCACAACTATATATATCTCTATACGTACATGTATCGTGTACCACTTCCTTAGCGAACTTAGAGCCTCGCCGAGGCCTGCGTGGCCTCTGTGCCGTCGTTGCATTCATGCTGCCCTCATGGCGCGCGGCTTTGAAACCGTTGCGATGCTTCAGCGAAGTCCAAGACAGCCTCCACTGTCTTGGTCCGTGAAGTGCTGTCAATCTTACCTCTTCCTTCTTCCCCTGGTCCTCCCCAACAGAATCGAGATGCTGTTGAACGCGTCACCAACCTTACTTCGGAGTTCCTTCCTTATTTCCTCAATTTGGGTAATCTAACAACGCGTGGTGAACGCTTTCCCGTTCACCACGGACGCATAGGTCGTCATCGCGGAATCGGAAAGCCTTGGCATATGTTGACAACCAGCAGTGTCCAGTACGCAGTTCTGGGGAAGACGTACGCGCACTAGTTGGCCTACAAAGAGGGCCAGGTGGTGGGCAGCAGTCTTCGAGCGTTGATCGAGAAGCTTACCACTCACCAATCCATTCCAGACCCAATGTTTGTTTCAACTTTCTACTTCAGTTTCTGCCCTTTTGCCATTCCTTTGGAGTTTTCTGAGGCCCTCGCTGAACGGTTCGAGTACGTCAGGGATACACCCCATGCCTCGGGGACGGTTTGGTTGCTTGTCTGCAATGTGTTCAAGGGCTGGCTCGAGTCGCACTGGCGGCATGACCGGGAAAAAATAGCCTTGGATTCCATCGTGAACTTTGCGAAGATGAGGCTGATGACAGACCTTCCAACTCCTGGCAAACGTCTCCTGGACTTGACAGACAAGGTATCCGCTGTCCGCGGCCCGATCGCGCGTTGTCTGGTGCCCTCTATAGACAAGAGCAACACGACCATCGCCCAATACGTTCATTCTGACATCGCTCTTCCTCCCATACTTAGAAATACAGAGCTTAGATTGTTGAAGCAATGGAAAACCGGCGAAACCTCGATCTCTATCCTTGACTTCGACCCGTTGGAGTTGGCTCGGCAGCTGACTCTCAAGGAATCTCGCATCTTCTGCTCCATCCTTCCTGAGGAGCTCCTCGACACATAGTGGACACGAAAATCGGGCTCGCTGGGGGTCAACGTTCTTGCCATGTCCACCCTGTCGACAGACCTAGCTTACTTAGTGGCTGATTCCATTCTGTACTATGATGAGCCCAAGAGGCGGGCAGCCACTATCAAGCACTGGATCAAGATCGCCAACAAGAGCCCGGAGCTGAACAACTATCCCACACTCATGGCAATTATCTGCTCCTTGAACTCGTCCATAATGTCTCGACTCAAACGAACGTGGGGAGCCGTGTCCCAGAAAACTAAGGCTACCTTGGAGCATCTCTACAGCATTGTTGATTTTTCTCGGAACTACGCGGTGCTACGCCAGCATCTGCAGAAGAATGTGCCACCATGTCTGTATTTCGTCGGCACCTATCTGACTGATCTAACATTTGTCGACCATGGTAACCAGCCTCTCCACACCCTATTTATGGACGACGGCCAAATGGTTGTAATCAACTTGGACAAGCACATAAAGACGACTCGGATTATTAGTGAGCTTCAGAGGTTCCAAAACCATTACTCTCTGACCGAAGTTCCTGAGTTACCCACCTGGATGCAGAATGAGCTCGTGCACGTACGATTCAACGGCGCAGTAACCAGACAGACCTTCTATCGCCGGTTTCTGGCTTTGGAGCCGAGAGAACCCTCACGCGGCGGCAACGGCGGCAACCTCCAATCCAGGCCCAATTTTTCAATTATTGAAAATGCCAAGAACAAGTGGAACTTTCTCTCCTGGATACACCCGTCCAATCCGACATCGGTTGCGACCAATGGCTAGGCTAATAAAGCCACCATTCCGGGACTGGCTCATTACGTCGGGGAGAATAATAACATAAAGCGGAGACGGCAACTGCTGCAGAAGGAAATCACATACCTGGAAGCCGGCAGGATAATCCTCCTGAGGTAATCCTGAAGAGGCTCAAGTTTGCGGGAAGAAGTGTGAGATTCAACTGCTAGATCGTTAGTTACTTAGTTAATAAAATGTCCTTGATGTCATCCACATCTCGGAGCTTCTCTTCTCTCGGCTCGACCTACCTCGTACGAGAATCCGTGATGATCCCCAGCAGAGTCAAACAACGGTGTACCGATTATGCTGAGCAGTCCACGCAATATTCCTGAACCGATTTCCTTTGTCCAAGTATGCGCCAATTTGCTTTCCGCATCATTAAAAGCACAGAACATTTCCCCTGCCTTTTGAACATAGCATCGCAATATTTGCCAATGATAGCTTTTGTCATGTTTCGCTTCGTTGCGGCTGGCTCTATTCGGAGAGACGGGCACCCGGTGAATGGTATGTTGTACCCGTTACAAGTTCTTAGTTATTCTCCATCGGCGGTCTTGGGGATAATACCGATTGACAGAGGAGCCGCACGAACGTCTTGAAATGCTCAAATTGAGCATACATACATACATACTGTATAAAGTGCAAACAGTGAGCCATATTTCTCGAAATACCCTAATATGACCAACCTAAAACATTTACTCTCGCCAGCTGAAACTTGAATCAGGACCTACAGAGAACAGAGTGGTGGGCAGAACACCCACATACTTGTCCAGTGTCGCTTGGCATAGATCGTAAGTAAAATCGGGAACCGCCTTCATGAGTCTGGAATCAATCACCGGAAACAACCCTTTTCGAAGATTCGGTAAGTCGTCAACTATCGTTTCGATGGCAAGTTGCCTTAACTGCCGATAGTCGGCTTGTGTTGAATAGAGTTCCTCGATAGTATCCGCAAAGGGTTTTCTTTTGGGATTATCCATGAAACATGCAAGAAAGTGCGCCTTTGCTTTGGCTTTTAAATCGTTGATCATGAAGTAATCCGCTTCGCCATACATGCGCACATGGAAGTAGCATGGATGAAAGTCAGCCAATATATCGCCGACTGGCTCCAACGCAACACCATGCTCGAATGGATCTTTCCCAGGGATTTCGTCAATCGGAGCCGGTTTCTTTTCTGCCGATGATCTACCCACCAGTCTCTCCATTTCTGCCGTAGAATTATGCATGCAGCATGCTTCTGATGACGAGTCCAGCACCAGCCCATTTTCGAACCCTGTATGTATTTCTTGTCTTTTAGCACTCTCTGTGCCAGGGTGCATCGATGTTGTTGCAAGGCGTTCGAGGGTGTAATCTCCCGTGTACAGAAATTCCAGCACCTTCTCGATTAGAATCGGGCTTCTCTCGTCCAGATGAATCTGCCCTTCGGTTTCCTAGCAGCGAACAGCAGTCGTCAGACTTATTTTACGAGCAGCTCAAAGGTCTGACTTGTTTCACCTTGAAACCGCCATAACAAGCCCTGTGGAAATACTTCGATCTGGGGCAAACGACAAGCTTATGAGCCGAGAAAGCCTCACCCTTGCAAATTATTGTCAAATCACTATAACTTGAGTTAAGATGCAAGCTTATTGAACGTCAATGATGAAGGTCTATAAGATTTCAATCTGATTGTTCGATTCTCACCTAGTAATGAGAGCGAGGATAGTTTCCTGATCCTCCTTGTCTTGTGTGTCAGACGTGGGAGGGTCAGGTTCTGGGTCCGTGGTCGCGAATGCTGAAATCTTGCCTTTTTTCTTCACCATGATCGGGCGCCAAAAGAAGAACGAAAATCTTTTCGTGTCGGCAAACGAGAAAGCTAAACAATCAAGCTAGAATTAGTTGATGTTTCCGGCGGTTGCTACTTTGATAAATTCATTCTGTTATTCATATGCGCTCTAAATGCATTGCTGCCTAACCCCGCTTCTATCAAACCTGTTGTAACTATGGGCAACGTAGTACAGTACAAGTCTATCATGTGATTTATCTTATTGAAGATGAAGTTAACTCACGAAGTACGGTACTTCCCTCAAAACACTCACGATTTATTTCTCGGCCAGTTCTCAAAACCTCACTATTCGTATTAGGATTAGTGGTAAACTAACCTGTGTTCTGAGCGAAGCATTATTGACGCAAAGTCCGAATGTGGGCTAGTGTGGCGTTGCATCCGTCTGTACGTGGAAATCAGAATAAGAGAATTTTAAATTTCTTGATTATTAATTCGTGAAATCCACTCAGAGCTTCGTCGACCGAGATACTGTAGTTGACGTATGTACCCTTGTTTGATTTCGATAATTTGCTAATGTTGAATCCGGGTACAAACCAGCTCAGGATCATCATGTGAGCGAGCCATCAGCTCGCCATGATACCAATATGCGACAAGGGGTTCGAAGTCCCCAGCACACACACGGAGATTTGATACTCCTACAATCTCCTAAGGCTGCGAGAAGTGTTGACTTCAGCCCGAAAATTATGTTCCTTTTCCGCCGTTGTAGCCTTTAGAATCACAGTATATCCGTCACATACAGGGTTGCTTTTACAAGAAACCCCGTTCGGCCGCAGATGTGTACTTGTTCAAACCCCTCATTCCGACTTCGCCGGAGTTGGCTGTGCAGCCTGCCCGTGAACTCCTGTGGACTGATGAGATGCCTTTGGGTCCCGTGCCTGTGGACATTCGGGCAGTTTCTATCCAAGTTGTCCCGCTTAGACTGCGACATCGCCCATGGACGGGCCGGTGGGCGGGGCCCATGGGCCTTATGTAAGCGGGTGCGCCCAACGTGGGCGTGCCCATGGGCCTTTTTAGTAAGCAAAATTTGTATACCGTGACTTGCATTATTTATGCTATTTGACTCTGTATTTTTAAGTATTTAGTTTACATAATAAATGCCAAGGCCCCTCGCTTGGTTATTCGCTTGATGGTGATTCTATGGTAACTACCTTGTGAAAAGAAAGGGCATTCGCGGATAAAATATTGAGCAAGCCGCATTAAAAAAATGAGGGGCAAGAGGATAATGCTTCAGTATGGTCCTATATTCTGCCATTCTCTGACCGTTGATCAGTAACCTTGACGGTCACTGTACTATTTGACGGCATAATACAAAATTACCCATAGCGTGTTTTGATTCTGATCTCTAGAGCAGTGGAAATTTCAAACATTATCATGGTCGATAGCCATAACGAATAGCTAGGTGAAATGCCTCCGCATGTTGTACGGGCGCGTGAGACCAATGAAGATCAGGCCGCGGTGCATCAAGCACTTTTCGGGTTGACGTTGTACTCGCCTTCTGTTTGCGCAGGGAGGTCAGATAAGGAAAGCGTATCATAGGGTCGAAGTTGATGAGAATCAGCATATGGTGATGGGGGGCAATTCTTCTGCAGGGGTAGAGTCCCGCTCGTCACAAACAGCCCGAACAAGACTGGTGGACGAGGCCGGACATAGTAGGGCCAGTAGCTCCGAGGGAGCATCTTCGGATGGCCATAAGCAAACACCACGAAAGTCGAAATGCTCCGCGCCCCCTTCGTCAATTGCACAGCTACGTTCCCGCGATTTTGTTCGAAGTCGCAAGCAGTGCTGAGAGCGCACCCCATCTGCTTGCAACTTAGGGTCGTTAACAAGATCAACGTAGGTTGTCGCGGCCAGGTGGTAGCTGTTGTGCCTGGTATGTGGCGGAATGAAGTCGAAACGTTGGTCCAGAGGACCGCTAATCTCATGCTCAGCGTAGCAATCGCGAACCGGTCATTTTCCTGGGAGCTGGCTATGAGCTTCACCTGAGTCCACCATATCAGTGGGTCGGGTAAACTCCTTTGTATGCATTGCCAGGACCTCGTCTCGCGTGGGGAGGGGTGTGGTGTAATAGGTACGATGGTTTTCGCTTCGACCGTCAAGCCATTCACGGCGGAATTCAAGAATGACCGGTCGGTCCTTTTCCTCATCCACTTGTATAGAGAGATCAGCCCACATTTCGTTGATAGGGCCCTCACGATGCTCACGGCGCCAAACACGTCCATTGCCCACGCTGTTTTCATGATCTGGGGAGTAGCATGACCAGTGGTAGAAGGAAGACTCTTGCTGGTCTATTATGCACACCACATAAAGATCCCCTTGTAGATCTCAAAGCATACTCTCCTGCCAAGCTCGCCATCGACAAGAAATTCTACGGAAAACTCAGTTCGTTGGAACGTTTTCAATTGCACGCCCCGCAATACCCATTCACTCTGTCGGCCATTGACGGCCGTGAACGTGCCAAACCAGAGAGACAGACGGGTATGGCGGACAAAAATTGGATCCGAGGAGGAGACTGGTTCTTGGAGAAGCAAACGGCTCTGTCGAGCCTGGTCTGGGCGGGGCTGTAAATCAATCGCGACCAGATCAGCATCATTTGAATTGTCTTGGCTAAACAGAAGGATCAGGATCCCGCAACTGAACCGTAGAAGGGTAGTTTGTTCTCCCACGTCCGAGAGAATGTATTCAATTCCGATGTCGTAACTGTTCATATGGTCGAGGTCCAAAACAAGCTCTTTTTGGCCTGTATTGTGTACATCCAGCAAACGAATTTGGGTTTTGACTCGATAACACAGAAAGCCTTGGTGGTACAAGAAGTCTGCGGCATAAGCCAGCACTGAAACAGAATATGGGGACGCAGTCGCAACCGCCTCATGAACATCAAACTGATGTCTGATGGCTTGATAATAGCCAGTCGTAGTGGCCCAAGCTGCTTTTCCTTCTTTGCTGCAAAGCAGAATGTTCTGAGATAAGTTTCAGCATGGTGTGTTGGTCCATAGCCGGTAGAAAGCTTTGGTTTCCTCATTCGTTGTTGCTCACCTTGACAAGAGCCCGTGCAATGATGGTATCTTTCATTGAGCTAAACATTGAGCGGCTCGAGTGACTGAGGTGTATGTAGTCCCGAATGTCGAGGTAGGCTGTTATTTGAAAGAGAACGTCGAATGGTAAGGACTCCAAGGTAGGTCATGACGACATATTCATCGACAGAGCCAGAGATTGAGGGCAAAATTGAAAGGGCGCAGTATATGATGGTAAAACCATTCAGACAGCAAGTGGCAAAATGAAACTCTAGATTTGTTTGGTCAAGGGACCTAGGCCTGAAATAGGGCTCCCGTGGTGCCAAGCTGGCCATCGAGCCCCTGGAATTTCATCGGCCAATGGTATCTCTATCTTACCTGCTGATGTTGATTGACCAACGAGGATTATAGCGGCGCCGATCCATTCCTCTTTACGATATGGATGTTCCCAGAACACAAAGTGCTGCCAGGCAGCGCTATTCGACGGAAGGGAGCCAAGATGGATCAAGCACAAGAGGTATATCATTGGACAGGAATTCGGGCCAGACAAAAAGAAGTGGGACGCATTGGACTATTGAATACATATGCAGAAACAGCCACTAATGAACCCAATCGTACTTGACCCTGGTCTTTCTGTAATAAATTAGTATGTATTGAAGGTAAGACTGACAATATCGTGGGGGCCTAATGAGCACATATGCCAACTTTCCATGTTATTACAATCATCCCAATGCCTTTTTGGTCAATGCAGGCTCAACTGGGACTAGACATCTGGTCCCATCTTGGAGCGCGGGAATACTAGTCTGGTTGGACAACACGAAAATTAATGGTGGTTATGGAGCGTACGTTGATTCCTACAAACATTGACATGGATTACGTCTCAACTATGCAAGAACGTACGAGGGCGACATAGTAAGGGAGTGTCGTGGGATCTGTACAGTATTTCTATCGACCGTCGACCGACCATGAAGGCCTTCAACCTTAAAACATCAATTCCATGACGACGATCAATGACCACGCTCATCCCGTTGCTTTTGCTTGCACAGATAGAGTCCCTCAAGCATTCACCCTGTCAATATCTACCATATTTCTCACAGACGCCTCAAGACCATGTTGTCCAAAACTCATAAGCCCTTCGCCATATAGCCTTGCACGATGCTCAACAGCTGCATGGAATGGGTGCTTGCAAAATAATTCGCAACTCGGATAGAAGCTGATCTCATGAACTTCGCTTTGACTTGCTCAATATGTATTCTTTTTCCTAGAGTATATCTCTTGATCAAGGCACGCGCGCAGGTCGGGATAGTAGGCTGGCCGGTGGGTGACAGTAAATGCAGTGGTATCCTCAGGAGAAAGCTAGGTTCAAACTCCTGTCGGGCTTGAAAGGTCGTTCGAGGATGAAAGTGTATGAGGTGTGGAAGGGGTTCGTGCTGGAGCACAGGTCGCAGGTATTTTGGCCGATGGTTCGCTTTTGAACTGATTTCCTATGGTCTAAGTCAGTACTGTAGTTCATGAAAGCATTCAACACTTTGGTAATTCCAACCTCTCTCTCTCGAGCCTAGCTAAAAGAAGGATGTTCAAGCCCGCCTCAGTCACTTCTCTCTTTTTGGCGCTTGTGTAGTATATTATTCTTTCAACGTCTCCGATGCTCAGCACGTAGTATTGTCTCATAGCTTTCGGGATCGGGGTTGTGCTAGAATGAAGTTGGGCTCTAGCGATATTTGGGACGAAGGTGATGGCGTGGATGGCGTTGCCAAAAAGGAACTATACGGTTTTTTCGGAGACGAAATGGTAGGCTTAGGAGCTATTCTCATGAAATCTGTCGCCTATTGCAGGGATTCTAGACGATAGACATTTCGAAGCGTAAGGTCTGTATCGGGCCACTAGAGGGGCCTTTGTAGCCGGATGAGAGATCGTCTTGGGCGCCCATGTTGATCTGTTGTGAAGGCTCTTCAGCGGACGCATGAATGACCTCAAGTATTAGCAGGCGAGGAAAGTCTGACCAAAGCTGTCTCTCAATATGAGGCATATATGATGGTGGATAAGAAAAGCAATTGTTGCGCTATAGGCGGGCAAGCTGGGCCTCTTCTATTATTGAGGGAAGGGGATTCGGTAAGGTCCAATTTCCTAGAAAATAAAAGAAAAAAAGTAAATTGCAACATAGGCATTCAATGTGTCTATTGGGAGGAGGACTGATGGTGGTACGAGACAAGCAGGAGCAGGATAGTTGGGTGCGCCGGGGCAGGGTGGCGAGCAGGTGACCGAAGTGTGCCTTACCCAAAACGGACAGTCAGTGATACATTTCTCCTTTCCCCAAGCCTTCCTCGCATTCCCAGGATCCAACAACAACACATACAATGTCAAACGAATCAAGGCCTTTAATATCTTTAAAGAGCTCACATGCATAACTGAAAACATGATTTGACACCTTCCGAGAAACGAACGTCCCCGAAATGCTACGCAAGCGAAGAACTTTGGAGATCCTTTCAAGTTACTACTGCTTGCCTGTACAGCCAACGAATGCAGTACTGATAGAAGGATTGCTGTTAGAGAGTAAGTCAAAAGAGGTCTCTCTTGACTGACGATGTGTCCGAACTCTTAATGGGCGTCCGCTTCCTATTCTTCACCTACACTTACGTCCCCTTTTTATCTTTTCACATCTGCTCAGTTGCTGCAGACTAACTCACATATTCCTAGAGCTAGCTGGCTTCCTTCTCTCTATACGAAGAGTTAGCTTCTTACCCAATTGTCAAACAAGCACGAGACGGTTAATTTTCAGAGAGCGCCATATGAGCTCGCACGCTATGCAAGGAAGCCGTAACGCAAACCAGTCTGTTGAATGCCACATTGCCTGCCCACAGTGAAAACCAACCACCAGCTAATGATCTTGACATTCTAGAGCGGTATTTACGTGAACGAGTCGGTCCGATCTAGTGTACTGCGCACCATGCGAATGAAAAGGAGCGAAGGTCCTGTGATGAAATGGTCAAAACAGTGTTCGGGATGTGGTCTGTACATGAGTCCTTCAAACGTACCGCTGCAACCCCCAAGATTGCAGGCTATCACGATGGAGCCAGTAAACACGGAAGGCATACTACTGGACGCAGGGCTGTTGGACTTGACAATTTACATTCTATGCCTCAATAGGAGTAATGGCACCGAGAGGAGCAAACGGATGGAAATCTCTGGAACAGCTCCTTGAAAGCAGGTTTAGGAAAGGGACAGTAGCGGCATTGTTTCCAATACGGTTAGTACGGCATTGAGGATCTTGAATATGTGACATATACCAGAAAATTAGAAGATGTTTACTCTATTCAAATGTGAAAACAAAAGCTAGCAGATTACATAGGAAGAGCAAAAACTATTCGCGATCTCCGGGAGAATCTTATCATTCGTCTTGCTCATCATGGTTTGCCTAGGCTAAGTCTTTCTATCCATCTACCAATCTCAAAATATACCCGCGGTTTCTGAAATAAGTGATACTTCTCCGCATAGGTATATATGTATTTCAACAACTGGAGCGCCTAATCCCTGATAATGAAGCCTCGCCTAGGGCCTGAAGCAATGAGGCATTCCATGAGAATGGGATATCTGGAACGCAGTGCTTGATGGAATAGGAATGAGTGTTGCGTCAGCACCTTTGATTTCTGTTATCCAACCATCAATCGTCTAAAGTTCCAGGTTGAATGCACGGAAATTCCTAGCGATCTCGCGCAACACCCTGATTGACTGTAATACCTGAAACTTCAAAGCTTTCTGTAGAATCTCGGCTGGAGATTACGCAGTGTCATCTTGGTGGTTTAAAAGGTAATTAGGCGGCCAAGAGCGTCGGCTCTGTGTGGCTGAATCATGTGTCGACGCTGATAGTGTTTTCGACGTGCTGTAAGAGTCTACTTAGCCACTGCGAGGAACCTAAATTCGGAAGTACAGCCATACGAACCTCACTTCATCATCTCTCACTGGTTGGTTAGTCGTCTCAGTAACTTCAGATACCGTTCGAAGTACCTTTTTGGCTGTCCTCTAGACCTGTTCGTGGTCCAACTGTATTTGGCGCTTCGAGTGTTTCCATCGTCTCAATTCTTGATGCTGCTTATGGTGTTCTTCTGTGTTGCAGTCCCTTGAAGGTGACGTAGGCGCTGATCGATGCGGCGTTCGAGGTCTTAGTTCTGGGTATCTCAAATTTGGCTGAGACTGAGTGACAGTTGAAGGTGCAGGTGGCGTCATCCAGTTTTGGTCTTGTTGAAATCCCCAAGAAAAACCACTTGCTTCGCCGATAACAGGAGACCGGTCCATCAACGGAGCGTACGCCGGGTCATACAGTAGCGACCGGTATCGCCTTCCATGTCGGGAACACAGAGATTCTCGTTCAAACCCTACTCACATGACGCGCTACCCCATATGTAGATAGCGCGTAAATAAGACGTTTTGTTTTGTACCTGACCAGGTAATAAATACCAGGAGCTTAAAATACCAGTATGAAAAAAACAAGGTCTAGGGATTCGATGCAAACTCAACAAACATATGGGTCTTAGACAGGCAATCTATCAACAATTCCCCTCTACATCTCGCAGTTGCATCACTGATCACTGCAGAGAGCCCGGTACTTTTTGGGAGCCAGTCCGGGGTCAGTTTGGTATGTAACTTAGGCATTCCCGTCACTTTAGAGGATACGGTAAGCGTGCCAAGCAGTTGCATCGCGCCTTACAAACTTGAATGTTACTGATTGAGAGATCGTCAGTGGATCGCATATGTGCGGGGTTCGAGTGTCCGAGTCTTACATCGACACTGACCACATCACCTCAACCCGGTCGGAAGAGAAAAACACACTTCAGCCACCCTACACTGGCCCAGAATTTCATTACAAGTGGTAGCGAGCCTATCACAGGTTCATATCGTAGCGCCCACTCAGTATCAGTGTTAAGATGCTCAAGATAAGAGTCGCTTTTTTTGATAGGTAGGCCCACAGTGACAGCAAACTAGCGTGTATCACTTGCCGCCGCCAGCTGATATCCTTTTCTGTTGGTTGTCCACTAAATCTTTGCTTAGTGGGTTAGCGGATGTACAGTATGCAATGCATGATTCGCGGTTTTGCCACTTGGCAAGCACACACCATCTTACATAGGGCCGTGCGTAGGGACCATTTAAACAAGGAGGAATTCCCCTGTGAGCTGAGCATTTCAGTTCTCCGTCAAAATCAAGAGACATTTACTTTACTTCGATTTTTAATCTCTCTTCTGGAATGGTAGGCGAACAATATCTTATTCATTACTGTACATACTAATAAAATAGTCGCAGAAGCCTTCAAAGATGGACGTCTGGCTACAAACACACCTTGACGAATTTCGACAGAAGCCAGCTTCCAGCCTTTCATATTCACAATCTCTAACGCTCGAGATGTTGAAGGATTTGGAGAATTTACAACAAGAAGGCGCATCTGATGAAGAAATGCAGTGCCGCATATCAGCGACGGCAACCAAGCTTAACCAACATAACAAAGATATCGACAGAGAAATCGAGCGACACCATTTAGAGCAACAGAAGGAACACTACCAAACTATGCTTGACGCTGTTCAGGTTTTTCAAGATAAAACGGAAACATTGGTAAGTTCGCTGCTATTATTGTTCTGCCGGTTCTGGGAGGTCATCAAGTCGCTAACGTACGTCAGACTGAGGGTAATGGAGATGAATGGGAGAAGGTTGAAAAAGCTTAGCCTTCTCTTGATGTTGATGTTAGTATGTATTCGAATGGGAATGATCGCAAGGAAAAGCCGGCCATAAGCGCCACTTGGTAAATAGGCAATGCCGATGTTGCGTTCCCGGATATTTCCCAAAATATACGTATTTTGATCTGTCGGTGGGCGGAGGCAAACTCGGGTGTATCGCATCCAGCATTAACTTTGCGGCTACCATCTCGAGGGCTAAAGCGTATATCCACCCGACAGTGTAATCGCCATGGCATATAGGGCCACTGGCTGCCATGATGGAATATAATGGTGGGGGTTGATATAGGATAGCCTATCTTGAGATCAAGAGGAGAGGCGGGGCTAATTGGTGAGGCTGAGGCATACTACTCTCAAAACCAATCAGTTTTTGCGGTGGAGAAGGAGATTAGTGACAGATTGTCTGCTTAAAGACCTCTATATTTGTATTGCCGGCATACATGACAGAAATGGAAAGGCAAAACGTATTCGGTACTTGGATCGTTGTGGAAAATATTATTAGTGAGCATTGAGGTCTGATCACTGGAAAGCGCGTTGGTCGTAAATGCATACGCCCTCAAGAGATTGCAACAGACGTCAATGCCACTTGCTAGAGATTATGTTTCGCAGAGCCGTTGTGATATGGAGCTGGTGCTGGTGTAAATAAAGCTGCACCACCGGATTCAATCCCCAAGACTTCTATACGGAGCATCAAGTTGATTTCAACCAAATTGATCTTCTCGTTAGGATAATGCGCGATTTCATTGTATTACTCTAGCCCGTATGCTAATTCCATGGCGGAGATTCCACGAATTAAATCTGTTCTGCGTTACAGTACAACAAAGTACGGTGCCAAAGTGTTGAGTGTTGTGATGCGAGGCTGTTGCAGATCAAGAAGCTTCCAGTTCTTTCTGCGTGGAAGAAATACATGATGCAAGTAGATGCCTTCACTGTGTATATATATATAGCCTCGTGTCTCCCTCTGAGAAATCAATCAATTTATTCCTCTGAACTATAACAGGTTATGAGCCCAGAGCAATCTCTCGGGTGCCGTCTCTACTCATCTGAGAATCAACTAGACCCTCTTGGTTATATATCTACCCCACTTTCGGAAGCAACAACATGTCTACTCTGGTCCACGACTTGCCCGATCGAGTCGTCACGGCCATTGAGCCTCTGACAGGAAGCGACAACTTCGCAACCTGGAAACGTCTCATGACCTCGTACCTGAAAGCTAGACAGGTCTGGGATGTTGTGTCAGGCGACCTTCAGCGTCCCGACTGCCTGTTCAAGTATGCCAAACCAATTACGGCACCCTTGGTGGAGCCCCACCTCAACGGGGCGGTGAGGCAGCGAGCCATTGAAGCGCGCCTCGAAGTGGAGGTCCAGGCATTCGAGCGCCACCGTGAATGGTCGCGCCGCGAAGCCGAGGCCTACCACACCATCTTCCGGTACCTGTCCCCCCATATCAGCATTCATGTTGCGGGACTAGAGACGTCTCGCGACTTCTGCAATGAACTCGAAGAACGATACCGGCGGATGGAACTCGCCACGTTCTGCGAGCCGTTCGCCCAGCTTTGCGAAACCACTGGCGAGCGCTGTGGCAGTGCGCGCGAATTCGTTGATCGTGTACGGTTGCTCGTACATCAATTGAATGCCATCGCGCCCGGATCGATTGGCGATCGAGCACACATCGCGATCTTGCTGACGCAGATAGGACCGGAATATGTCCTGATTGTGGATGCCATTCAGAATGACAAGGATCCGGTGAATCCGACCACGATCGGAAACCGTCTGTCTAATCCGAACAGACGGTTCGGAGGAAAGAGTCTCCAACACCCTTGCAGGCAGCGTCTGGCCCGTCCGTCAATACGGTGCAGCAGACTGCCAAGAAATGCAACTATTGCAAGAAGCGCGGCCATGTGGTCGCGCAGTGCTGGAAGAAACAGCGAGAAGTACAGCCGTCCAGGGACCATGCCCTGAAGGCTGAACGGAGTGTTTCCGGCTCACCAAGAAACAATTTGCAAAATATACCATCAAGCCAGATGGGAGATCGGCAGGGCCCGCCGACTTCCAAGAGACCGAGGATCAATATCGTGAGGGCGAGGGTGACGACCCTTTATACCCACGCACCGCAACCCCGGTGGATCCTGGACTCGGCCGCCACCAGCCACATCTGCTGGGACCGGAGCTGCTTCGGCAGTCTGCGGCCCCACCGCGAGATGCTGGACACGGCGGGCGATCCAGTGGAAGCCGAAGGGATTGGTACGGTGAAGCTCACGCTCCGGCGGAAGTTCAACCAACCCCTGGTGTTAAAAAATGTGTACTTCGCGCCACGCGTCGGGATGAACCTGATCACCGTGCCGAAACTGTTGCGAGACCGCTACTCGGTGGTGGCGCACCCGCAGAACGTCTTTGTGCAACGCCGAGGACGGACGGTGGGGACCCCCTACCATGCGGAGGAGGATCTACTGATCCTGCGTTGCCATGTGAGCAAGAGATCTCGAGAGCGAGTCCAACTGGCGAGGGCGCCGGCGACCCATGACCATGCAGATTCCCTGGAACCGCAGGCGGTGGCCATGGACGTCGACGACCCTCAGGAGTCAAGTGGCGCAGAATGCGCAGCGTCAACCTCTGAACTCGGTGGTGAAGCTGTGATACTCGAAGAAGGTGCGTGCAAAGGAGTGGACCAGGCCTCTGAAGCGTTGTGGCACACTCGGATGGGACATCTGAACCGGGGAGACTTGAGGGTGGTCCTCCGGCAGACCGGCACTCCGTACCGACCGCTGACGCAAGCGCAGCTGCTAGCAACGCTACAGTGCCCGGCGTGCATATCGGGTAAGCAGCATCAGAAGAGGAGCTCCTGTGCAAGACGGCCACGTCTGCACTCTTCGGGAATATTCGAAATGATCCATTCGGACATTATGGAAATGCCGATTGCCAAAGATGGCTCCAGGTACGTGATCACCTTTACCGACGATTATTCTCGTGGCTCGTGGGCATATTCTGTGAGATGGAAGCATGAAGCGCTCCAGAAGTTCCGACAATTTGAGGCCTGGCTGCACCGACAGTTTGGCGCCCAGATCAAACGGTTCCTCACCGACAACGGGAGAGAATACCTACCGGTCGGAACGCACCTCGAGTCCCAGGGGGTTGAGTTTGACACCTCGCCGCCATACTGCAAGGGCAGAATGGTCTGGCCGAACGCACGAATCGCACTATCCGGGAGCGGATCAACACGCTCCTGTCCGATGCGAAACCCCCTCCTTCCTTCCCTCGTATTTCCCAGGTGTACTTTTGTTCGCTTATTAAGGGATATCTGTATCATTACGTTACAGATAAAATATAACGGTGCTGTATCGTATCAAACGCGCCAGTTTTACAACCACGAGTCATGTGCCTGGCAAGGCCACAGGGCTCAGAGCCATCGCCCAACTTCTGGGAGAATTTGGCTTTTTCGTGGTACAACCTTAAGTGCTAGATGCTATGACATAGTAGGTTACCTGTTGAAAGCTTACGGCAGTAGTTCTAGCCTGCCGGGGAAGGTGAGCCGTACGCACCTTTGTGAAAGAGGGGGCGGAGCGCCCAAATACATATGTGTCATCCTGGCCAATCATCTCACTCCACCAAAAAAAAAACCACTTTCCCGTGGTGTCACCGGCCTCCAAAACAGGCTTGAGAAGATAGGATGGAGCTTATCATAACGTCGAAATTGCGTGTGTGGTACAATCTTCTAGAGCATTGTTCTAAGAGTGATATTGAGCCCTGCCAGACCATTCGATTATGGTGAAAGCCTCTACTCGTCTCGCTCGAGGCCGTCATCACCGGCTAGTTCGTTGAATTCGGGCTTCTTACAGCGGTACGACTTCCAACAAAGAAAAACTCAGCCGCCTCCGGAAACATGGCGACATACAAAAAGAATGCTGACGGAAATATAGTGAAAATCATTGCAACCATCGCCATGGGAGAGGCTAACAGGTTTTGAGAGCTAACAATACTCTGTACTCTACCCCAAACTCATTACAGGTAAGACGTCATATTAAGGAAACATGCCACCTCAAGCTTTATCAATCTCCTCTTTCTTAAGAAGATCATCCGGAAATCCCTTAACGTAAGATTTTGTTTTTCATGTAGAAGAGGGTTTGAGCCATCTGTATATTAGACAAAGTGGTTTTTTTGACACCCGGCAGGTCGTGTCGCCATAACAGCTTCTGTAATGTTTTAGATCATTCTTGTTTTAGCATTGAGAAATGGTTCAATCACGAGTTATATCAAAGGCAACACACCATCAAGGCGACAATGTACCCGCCCAACCTCCATATCAAGCCTTAGCAACTTCAACCACCATTCTGGAAACGTGAAGATGCCCTGCTCGGTGGGCTGCTGAGAACAAGAATCTTTCCAAGATTCGCCTTCATCTTGGACCAGGGATCGTTGCCCCTCTAATCTCTGTAGCTCATTCTCCAGATCTGCTATCCTCGGAACATGACCTTGTAGTCTGTGTCGATCGATATCTTTGCTTTCTCCATATCAATTAGCCCTAGAGTTTGGTGAGGAAAGATACGATGTAGGAGATATACCACGAAGGCACAGTCAGGATGCTTTGAGTACTGTGTCCAATCCCTCGTATTTGTATTTATAGACCTTGATGAACACATACACACTGTACGTGCGACCGCGGCACGTCTAGGAATCGTTTTATGTGCCACACTGCCATTTTGAGCACAAGGTCTCCGACCTCTGATTCGCCATTAGTCTTGACTCATGACACCATTGGACTGGTGGTATTGATACAGGTCACATAATCTACTCTGGTCAAAGTCCAGTAAAACCGTATCGCCCGCGCCTAGGCATGACTTCAAAGAACTCTGCACCTAAAACATCAGGTAAGACAGTCGTGAATAGCCTTGCTTCAGTCATTTGAGACAGTGAATACCGCTCAGCATTCATGTTGACGCAGTTTCATAATACTTAATAATTACCTTGTTCCATCCAAGACTTCTGTATTTAGAGAAGTCTTAAAAAATAGACGCCTAGACCGGATTTGTGCAGGGAAACAGAAAAAGATCCTTGCACAATGTGGTGGGTCTGTGAGCAAGGTGGGCAAGAAAATATCTCTCTGCGTGAAAGAAATCCTGAAGAGAATGGTGGGCTCCAGTCAAATCCTTCGATGCACCTAGACCATAGATTGGCGTGACCCTTGACCAATAGGAGCGTCAAACACACGTCTGAGACCGAGTCATCTCGCTAAGGACCACTCATTAAAGCTAACTAATGCCACCCGGAAGGACTCGTGGGGCCCCATAATGCATTCGGTTGCGCAATGCTGGGCTATGGGAGATCTGGAAAAGGGGGAGGGGGGAGTCCACAGGAGCTCAACGCGGTACCTGTCAGCGAGCAAATTTACTGCGTAAGCCCGAACGGTTGACCGGGATGTTTGGGACAAGGCTCCTATCGTTGTTTGCGGAATGGACAGGATGTGACACAATACACAGTTCCTGCGCTAATAACAATGGTGTTAGTGTTATAAATGCTTGAATTTAGTTGTATGGCAAAGGTAGCACAAGATCACCTTGCTATACCGGCAGCAGAGATAGATATCGAGAGATTGTTCACGGATGGGAGAGATGTGCTGGGGATAAATCACAGGCGCACTTGATCAAACTCATTACTGCGATGTGATGCAATCGACTCGAATGCCTTGTAAATTGGTCTTTTCACGCTGCGCTTCATGGCAACAAGGAGGGGCTCCGTGGCAGGGTCTGATAGGAAAACCAGTTTGGCGATATCGAAGAATCCATGCCCTCAGATGTACTCGGGCCATCGGGTGAGCTCAAGCCACCGCATAAAATACCCTAGACTTAAGAGGCAAATTCTTACGCAACATAATATGTAAATTATTGATTTTGTTGGTTTGAAACGATAATAACATTTTGGAATTACCATGAAAATCAAAGATTAGACGTGCTAGATATATGTTAATGATGGAATAGGCAGTGATTATAGTTCTGTGGTGTATTTTTTGTTTTCGCTGACCCTTGTTCACAAAGTCGCACTAGACCAACATCCTATATTATTATTTCAAAATTCGATGGTATTTAACTTCAGAGCCAGAGGATACCCCAGGCGTCTTTATTTACGATATTATTGTTATTTGATAGATTTATCTTCAATTACGGCGAAGGTATCTTTGTCAAGTTTCGGCACACCGCCTTATTTCGGCGCCTCATTTACACATCAGTCAGGAGTGTCATACTCTGTAATTGTCTAGGCTCGGCTCAAGGTTTTTGGATGTCTCTAAAAACCCTCGCGGGATTGAAGGGCCGCAGTCTAGTTTTGGACGACCATCTGGAGAGAATATTCTGAAAAGTGAACGCCTGACTGCGAGCACGGTTGTATAGATACGTAAAATGCTGCTTCCCAATAACCGTGCCAAGCGCCCAACACACCGCTGTGTATTGGGCGCTTGGCACGGTTATGAGGGTCAAAAACATGCTGGGTCGAATACAGACTTAGGGTTTTAATTCCAAATTTTTGATCGGCCACCACACCTTTATGGCTGAATTAAATACTCCAAAATTTGAGGACCATAATCTCCGAGGCGTAACTTAGAATTGTACAAACTTTGAGTTCAATCCTCGTACGAAAAGTAATTCCAGTCTACTCATGAAAAGTATTCCATTCTACTTACTCATGGCCCCACTTTTTCCCTCCATAGTTAAGCCAAAGTCCTAATTCCAGTCTACTATACTGCGCCCACCCACCCCCATGGGAATAGTGGTGGAATTTCCCCCAAATTAAACTGGACGACAGCTGGGACTTCTAATTACCCCTGAATCTCATCTTAGCCCCGTATTCATCTAATTAGATCTTGGACTGATCAATTTGTTAACCCCAATGTTGATGTTATGGGTGGCGTGGTTGACTACGGTCGCACCTCTACTTCCATGTCCTCACTAAAAAAAACCCCGATTTTCAATCGCTTAAATCTCTACCAGTACTGGTCGAATTGACTCTAAATTAAAACCATATAAACTTTACCTTTGGGAATACAACTTCTAGAAATCTGAGTAGGATCCAACGCCAACTGCTAAATAAACTGGGGGTTTGAAAATTAAATAAACTGGGCCCTGACCCACTTTTTTCCTCCCATAGTTAACTCTCAGACCCTAATTCAACCCAGGCTCGGTTTACCCACCCCCATGGGATAGGATATGTATATCTAGACACTGCTGCGATTATTTAGGTCTTTAGAAGCTCTTCGAGTTACGGGAGGAGCTTTCGTACCATTCGTACCTATTGAGTTCCTGTTAGACCAAGAAGTCCGTGGTCAGTTTTCGACCGCCAGACCATCATGTCGTAGCACGTCCCTGGGTTTCCTGAGACTCACGCTATTGGAACCGGATACGTGGACTTCCTTTCGCGTATTCAGTAGTTCTAGGTCGGAAGAACAAAGGATAGCGAGGAAGATGCAAGTGCTTCAAAGCAATTCCCACCACAGCATTCTATCATTGCATGGCAGCCGGTGATACTTCGAGTGAGGTCCACTAATTTTCGTATCGGCCTATCAGGGCCTACTTGGCCTCTGCTTGATATAAGTAGCCCGTGTGCCCGCTTATATAGCAACTGAAGCCTTTGACGTCGCCTGCGGCTCCCGAGGTGTTGCCCGCCAGAATGCCACTCTCCACCCTGGATTCTCTCCCGTGCGAGATTATTGAGACGATTTTCCTTGATGCTTTTGTGGTCAATCTCGCACGTGCTTCCAATGTGATCGCGGCAGTTGTTTCACGAGAGGCGCTCTATGATATTTTCATGGTCCAAGCGCTTTGGAATGACCCACAGGATTGCTTCCGGCTGCGGCCCTCTGACAGAGAATCCATTTATTGCGATATGAGATGTATCAAACGAGACTATCAAGATTGTCCGGGGTTTCAGTCGGAACTACGATTGGCCGCGTATCGCCCTTTACTGGTCTCAGATCAGAGGGTACTACAGCAAAAAGTGATGGCATGTCGCTGGTTCAACATTCATCGGTTGAAACGGGTTTTACCGACGTTGCTAGCACTGGCACTGGATGCTATCATGTGGCAAGAACATCTCCGATTTCCCTCCAAAGAAGTGCAGCGGCGAGAATGGAGCGGGGTTTCTGCGATTGAGACTTTACGAGCCCAGCAGATGTGTACAAACGATGGCTATCCAAAGCGACTTCGGGTCATGGACCATTTTGCCATTGAGGCTGAATATATTGCGCCAGAGCATGGGCGACGTCACATCATCCGACCTATCCGTCTGTTTCTGCTTCCAGACAAGGCATTACATGGCTTATGGTCCGATGAAAAATTTGACCTTCTCGTTGCCCTACGCCGGGCGTTTGGGAAAAGGTTTGCCCGGCATGACCTCTCCTACTCCGCCATGCGACAGCAGACACTTGCTCCAGTGTTTTCTGGAATGGCTTGCTTGCAGGGTATTAAGGATGCCATAGCACAGGGCAACCGTAGAGCCCTTCTCTACCTGCTGGATATCAGAGAAAATTTCCGACCGATAACGCCAAATATCTTAAAAGTCGGTTCTCGGATCAACTATTGAAACTGGCCATTCACACGCGTGCGCCTGACTTTGATATTATTAACCTTCTGGTTCGAGCCAATCCATCATTTGCTCGAGGCTGCAACTTGGTCAAATGGTCTATTGCCACCAGTCTTCCAAGGAACGTTACAGAGACTCGGTTGCTCTATTGTCTCCAGCAATACGGCGCCGTAAGGGGTCGAAGCTCCCTTTCTAGAGCACCGTGGTCGAATCCAGCTTTAGAGTGTTCTTTTTTATGGCGAGAACCTTGGTTATAGAATCAGGTCATGTTTCGAGGATTAACGTTGGTTTCCTCCGTATTCAGGTAGGTTTCCAAATGTAAACCAGTCCCAATGAATACAGATGGCCTCCTGAGCCCTGGCCAATACCCTCATGCCTGGATTATTTATCATGACATCTATTTGGTACAAAGAATTATGTAACACAATTCAATAGGAACTTTATTTCTTAGATATTGACGCTCTCAAACAGAGCCAATAGATAGTTATCACTTATTTTTAGCTCGTCAAAGTGAATCTGAAACTGCTTAGGTGCGGAATGATGCAACCCTGCTCAAGTGGGATATCCTTGTATGCTGAAAAGAACGAAACCAAAACCAGAGGCTGGATCAGTCCAAACCAATTTCCGAAACAGTCTAAGCTCAGAGACGATTCTATTATTGTTGAATTGTCCGTTCAGTGAACCAGTCGCTCCAAAGTCTAATCTTTCATTCTCCCACCCCAAAAATTGCTCCCGTGGATTCATGATTCGGTTTGCATTTGTGAATTGCGAAGCACATTTGATACATGAAATCGAGTTCATCAATATGTATCTTCTTTTGATACCCATGTTGGGACGATTTTGGAGTGCCATTGTCGGGTGTGATTAAGTCCGACCGGGGGTTCTCAATGTTCTGGTGGCTTGATAGCTTGAAGGGAATGTAGTTCCCGCGTCGCACGGGATTGCCAGGAATAGGGCTCAGGGTGTCGGAGTGTTGGTCCTTTGACTGGATCTCGCAGTCTGGATGTGAATGGGCTACCGAAAGGCAAGTGTAGTATCTAAACCCCAACCGCCCACAAAAGATACTCTACCGAGTTCTCTAAGCCTCATTCCAGCGCCTCCCGTTTGTCATCTTTGTATTTGCGTAAAAAACTAAAAAATCTAGGTCATTTATACAGGTAAGGCTCTACATCAGGTCGATGATTGGCTTCTGTCAACAAAAGAGGGTCGCAATTTTACTAGTGCGCCCGGAATATTCAGCACCCCTGTCGGCGTGGGCCGTATTGTAAATGTAGGGGTCCAATCAATGGTATTCAACTCTCTGTATTCCTGTATCGGCTCTCTACACAATTTATATGGAGCCTCGATTACATAACATAAATTACGAAAACATGTAGGATTAAATCCTCCGGTATGCCGGTGTTACTGCGCCGACAACCCCCATCTGCCTGATGATCCTAAGGCTCTCAACGATCTTACTAAACTCATCCCCTATTTATTCTGCACTTTCTATAGTATATAAAAATCACACTCTCAAGTACTCAATTGGCTATGCCCGTACTAGTCCGTACTGTAACGACCACGTTCCGACAACAATTTATACGGACAGATTTGTAAGCAAAAACAATACAAACTCGGTCCAAGGTTATTCCCTGGAGTAATTCAGGGGACGATCTTCACATTTGTTGACATAATATCCAAAAATGGCGACCAGCCCTCGGCTCGAAAAGACCTATTTCCGAGCCAAAAATAACTATTGCTTGCTTCCCGGCTCAGTGTCGTTTTCCATCTCAGTAATTGGAAATCAACCTTGGGGTTGAGCTCAGTGACACCGAATGCTTTGGTCACCTGCTACGATCAAATGTTGGCGGATCCCGTGGACCGCACTCGACAGCAAGTTTCGATACATCTGCCCGTTGTCGACCGCTCCATGAACTCTATCCCAGGTAACTTCTAACACTTTCTCGGTCTAGCAGGCCTATAATCACGGCATCACTATTTGAATAGAATGGGAAATAATATACAATCAATACGTGACAATATAGCCATGGCTTTGTTGTAATTGTTCCGCACTAGAGGTTTATCTTCTGACGTTGTATTCCAAAGTATCTTGATCACGGGCAGAGACAGTGGGAAAATTCTTGCGACGTTAGTACGTAAAATCGATAACCGTGATGACTGTAGTACCGATCAAGTAATGGCTAGAATCAAGAAATAAAAAGTACTAAAACTAGAGCTCTAAAATTAACAAATCCAAATTCGGAACCACAAACAACAATTTCAACAACGTAGAACAACTAACAAATAAATAAAATTCAGAATAAAACGCAGTTAAACATGGGGGTAAAAATAAACGGAATAAAACAAAATTGGTCTACCCATCTCCGGGGCACACGGGTGAGACAATGGACAATGGTGATGGTTGGTTGATAAGGGCATTCAAAAAGGTCTAGAGAATCTAGTAATCTATACACAAGGCCATTCGTGGTATGCTATGATAAAATTTAAATCTGAGGAGGGAGGAATTCTTTAGCCTGGGGTATACTAGGTGTAAATGGGGATTCTTTCAGAAATAAACCTTGGACTCAAATCACTATATGGCCATTAATAACTCACGACCATATTTATAGTGGAGCGGGAGATATAAAAGCCTTGCTGCGTACGTGATAAAACATCAATATCTAGTGTGAATATATTTTCCACTTCCCTATAGTTCTTTTGGAGCAACTATGTTCGGCATCCGTACAAACCCGACGGGAGAAGAGCCCCGTGACATTGACCAACTGGAAACAAACCAGGGTTTGCCCGATCAGGATACACAGGCAGAGGCATTCTTTCACGCGGTCAGAGATGGGCATGAAGATACTGTCCGTTTCTCGCTGAATGAAGGATCCGATCCTAACTCCTTTGGACAACTCTCACAGACACCACCTCTCTTGCTCGCTTCCCTCATGGGTCGCAAAAATGTGGTGAATTTGCTACTGGACGCTGGTGCAAAGGCAACTAGTGATATACTAAAGGCTGCCTTGGGCCGCTACCAGAATCGTGTGATGTGTGGTCTGATAGAACATGGTGCGGATTTCAGTTGGGACAAGGATGGTAACTTACTGAGATTAGCAATCTGGGAGAAAGATCGCGAGCTAGTGAAAACTTTGATAAGTCATAAGGCAAATGTCCATGCTACAGGGGAAGACGGCCTGAATGCCTTTGCAATCAGTGCTGATGGCGATACTTTTGATGACTATATTTTCCGTTCGATCTTGGATGCCGGCGGCAGACCGCCGAAAGGTTACGGTTACACCCGTAAGCCACCGCCGCAGTCTATGTTTGGTTCTTCCGCAGTTTGCAGAGTCTAAATACTTAGAAATGAGATCTCCTTTATTATATGGAAGTCTTGTATTCTTTAAATGTAACCAATGTCAGAAACATCGATAACTATCGGAACATATGATCTCTAGTACCGTACCCAATCAAGTGACGCCCGATTTTCCCGGTCCACCACGAATGTAGTAATGAAGCTGTACAGTGGCGTTTCATGAGTATCTGCACCCAAGTACCTTACCCATTGACCACTCTTTCTATACTGCCTGCCTATTCCTGCTAGTATAAACCCCGCCGGCGTAGAGCGCGCGAATAATTTACCTTTCTAATTCTTTCCCTGAACTCTCTACTAGTATGGCCCGTGGCCTGGAGCTTTTACCATATGTTCGTGAGCGTATATGTGAGCTAAACGTATTCAAAGGTATGCGTACCCTCATATTACTCTCTCAATCATTCACTATGCCTTCCTTATACTTACAGATTGATAAGACGTGAGTTTTGTAACAGTTTAACCTTTTAAATGACATTAGCTTCCACCTGGTTAGGACGGCCATCACCAGTGTAGGTGAGACTACAAAACATTTAGCGAAGAGCATTCCCCAAAGGATCCCCGGTGTCCAGAAAGCAATCCATGAAAATTTCGACATCGCAAAAACAGGGCTGAAGGAACGGTTTGACAATATCTTCCTCCAACCCTTATTAAGTTTGGATCTATCTACTCTCCGAATTCCAATTTGGTGATAGTGATTGACGCACTAGATGAATGCGATATGGATCATGACATGCGACTCGTACTCCAATTGCAACCACGGCTACAAGAGACAGAGGCTGTGTGTTTGAGAGTTATCGAAGATCACGAGGCGTGAACCTGATGACCTGATTCTCCATCAAATTCCCGAACCAGCGATCGAGCGTCGTATATATTCTTAGAGTACCGACTTTCAGCTATACGGACAGATGCTAATACCCAAAATCTGATTGTATTGTCCACTCCATTGTTTATTTTCGCAGCTACTATATGCCATATATTTGAAGCCCCCATTGGGACCCAGTGGAGACTCTCTATGGAATACTTACACATCAGAATGATGGATCTAAACTGGATGGAACGTATCTTTCTGTGCTTGATCGGCTTCTCAACAGACAAAGCAAGAAACAGAAAAAGCAACTGATCAACTTGTTAACCCCAATGTTGATGTTATGGGTGGTTTACTATGGTCGCATATCCATATCTGGGCCCTCACCAAAAAAACCCCGATTTTCAATCGTAAATTCCTCCACTAATACTTGTCGAATCTACTATAAATCAGAAGTATATAAAATTCATTACTGGGAGTACAACTTCTGAAAATCTATGCATGATCCGACGCCAACTGCTAAATGCACCGGCCGTGTCAAAATTAATGGATCTGGCCGTGACCCCACTTTTTTTCTCCCATATAAAAATGCCAAACCCTAATGGATCTCACCGTCAGATCCCCCTCCCCCATGGGATAGGGCCACGGCGGCCATGGAATCCCAAATCGCGGCCGCGGTTAATGCTGCCTCACTGCGGTCCTCGGGATCGGGTTGTTGGACGCACTGGACCAAATCGTCGGGGTTCAACCCGGACAAATATACGGCCCACTACGTGCGACGCAGCCACGGGTTCGCTTCGTCTCGCTAGCCAGCTTCGATCTGGATGGGCTGATTAATATTCTGCTGGTACAGCTCTTCCATCTTATCGAGCTCCGCGTGGATCTGGGACGCCTGATGAATGGGGCGTTCAACTGGTGTATTCTGGTCCGTACTGCGGCCCTGCACGTGGATGTGATGTCTACCTGTGCCGTGGTTAAACGCCTGTTGGTATATCACCGTGCGGCTAAACTGCTGGACCTGCTCTTGGGCGGCTTGACGGGTTGCGATACGGGGACGACCTTTGCGTGTGTCTTGCGCCAGTGCTGTTTCATAACGTCGATACTATGAACCACGTTACCACAATCTGATTCTCGTGTACATAAAATGCCATCGGCATGCACGGTTAACCCGGGAATGGGTTGATTTACCGTGGTGGGCACTTCCCAACGCTCGCACTCCTGGACTCTGTCCCACTGTTGGATGGCATGCTGTAACTGCCTACCGGTGGGCAATCCTAATCGGTGTTGGGCTCCTTGTATGTAATAATGGGAAATTCCCCCGGTTTGGAAAAAATTTGGTTTTCCATGTTGTGTGTGGATATATATATACAAAGTATGCAACAAATACCCAAATTGTATAACAAACTGGGGTGGATGAAGTGGTCAAGTTGTTCCAAAATTCAACTGGACGATAACTGGGACTTCTAAATACCCCTGAATTTCTTGTTAACCCCGTATTCATCTAATTGAACTTTGGACTGATCAACTTGTTAACCCCAATGTTGATGTTATGGGTGGTTTGACTGTGGTCGCATATCCACATCTGCGCCCTCACCAAAAAAAACTCCGGATTTCTAATCGCATAAACCTCCACTAATACTGGTCGAATTAACTATTAATTGGAACTATACAAAATTCACTACGAGGAATATAACCCCTGATAATCTGAGCATGATCCGACGCCAACTACAAAAACGAGTGGTGGTCTGAAAATTAAAGCGAGTGGCCGTGGACCCACTTTTCTTCTCCCATATAAAAATGAAAAGCCCTAATCCGAGTCACGGTGACTCCCCCTCCCCCCATGGGATAGGTGTTATTTAATTGGAGAAGCGGAGGATAATCCACGAAATATTTTTCTACGGCAATATTTTCATTTGATGAATTCATGTTCGTTTGAGATGAAGGTATCTGGGGCCAGCGGGTGCGTTCCATCCACGGCCGGGTGGCCTCCACGCTCTGAAGGCGCGTCGTGGTAGAATCGGCTGTGGCCTCCTCGGCCTGGAGCCGCGCCCGCTCCCGCTGGTGGACGGATGCTATGTGGGCATCTACGGCCGGGCTCTGAGCCATAGGTCGGACGGACTGACCCTGGTGAATCACCGTCCAATACTGTCGGGACGAGCTCTGCGACCAGGTCTGTAGGTAGACATCGTCATAGAGGCCATTGGCCTGACGGGAGGAGGCGCGCTGCTGCTGGAGATGCTCCTGGGACAAGTGGCGGCGGATGAGGTCCCGGCTAACCGTGCGGTAAGGGCACCGATGGCATGCATACCCAGCGAGGAGCTGCAAACGAGTATCGGCCGGGGAGCCGTCCGGTCTAGGAGAAGCACCTGCCGGTTCCTAGAAACGAACTTGGTGGTCTCGCAGACGGGTGGTGAGGCCTTTGCGGAGAGGCAACGGCACGCGGTGCTTACTGTGAAGGTGCTAGGTTACCTGTGAACCTCGTGGACGTATTGCACAGCGGCATCGCTGGCAAAGGATGAGATTCTGTGACTGCTCCCAGATGAGGCCACACGCTTCAAACACGTCGTCGATAGACTTAGGACTTGCCATCGCCAACGATTAGAATTGGAGACTGAAGTGCAATGCATCTCCACTAGACACGGCCAGGGGCAAAGGCACACGGCGTATAGGAGATTATCGATATCAAATACTCTGTGGGGAAGGCGCGTGGGCCGATCAGGAGAACGACTAATGGGGTACGCGACGCGCACTAGAACAGTGGGTCTTTACGCGCGTTGAGCTAATAAGAGGGCGGAAGGTGGAAAACTAATTAGTTCCGCGACGCGCATAAGGGGATGGTGAGGGAATCTAATGCGTTCCGCGATACGTATTACCACGTAGAAAGAGTATGTACAAAAAATGACGATCCAGGTATAGCGTCGGGGGCAGCACAGCTAGCGGAGAAAGTGTCGAGTGACTCGAATATGGCAGTGCTTCCAGACGAGGCAACAATGACAATTGGGAGCAGGGTGCCATCGCTCCAACAGCAGCTCAGGAAATCACCCAGGCTCAAGTGCCACCCGGGTTCAAGTGCCACCCTCAGTACGTTACATACTAAAACACGTATCAGGTGTAATTATATTTTCAACAGGTATAAAACCCATACCTAAAGCCTCAAACTATTTTCCCTATCAAATATTCCGTTTTTCATCTTCACAGACCCCGTTTGCTCTCTTGTATTTCTTCAACCATCTACATATCTTGTTGAAACGAAATGAACACCGAACCGCCCTACTACAGCCACCCAAACAGTGAACTGAACATTGATGTGAGCGAGAGCCCGAATGAAGAAGCCGAGAGCTCGAATGAAGAAGACGAGAGCTCGAATGAAGAAGACGAGAGCTCGAATGAAGAAGATCCCCCGCATCCTCATTCTTGCACCTGTCAGCCCGAGTACGTGTTGTCAGATAAATTTCTGCTGCTAATTCTTTCGATCTTGTCTTATTTTCTGATATTGCTCTAGTTCTAAATGCAAGTGGGTTGGCTGCGACCATGACGTATTCATGTGCAAAGACCACCTCATGCAACACATTAGGAATCACTTCCCCACCGAACACGATTCCAAGCCACAATGATCATGTATTATTACTTTTGCTTTTGCACATAAGTGGGGGCGGGGAGACTCCTGTGGTGCTGGGGGGTTGGGCGCTTGGTACGGGTACTTAGAGAAATAGGCTTTAGGATCTGATCATGAGCGACTGGGCTTTCTCTTGATTTGTTACTATCATTATTGGATGCCTTGTTTAACGAAGTAAGGGAGCACGCATATTGCTGTACTAGATCTCTCATTGAAATCACATCCTCAAGTGGTCTAGCTGCCACCTCATTTCTCTATTAAACCAGCCGGTAATACACCAGTGATACTCCCTCCCTGCTTTCGCAACTCAAGCTCGTCGCCACCAATTTCCCGAACAATTTCAAACTTCCCCACGCTCCTTGAATATGCTATCAGTCTCCTCAAAAGGGCCGCAAATTCTGCCAAACATCTTCATTTTCCTCCTCCCGTGCTTGGATAGCATCTCTTGTATCAATAATCTTGATCGAATTGAAGACTCCGGATTCATGATGTGCGAGCATAGAGTTCGGGATCTGAGCAACCCACAATCTTGCCATTTGTTTTTACTAATATATATATTACATTTAGTCTACTCGTACGCCTACCCGAAAGGTCTTTGACCAGCAGCGATTTGAAAGAGCCCAAGTCAAATTTATAGCGAACTCACGCCTTCCATTTCAGATCCTCCGGCATAAAGACTTTGAAGATCTAATTATAGAGGCTCAACTTTCTCAACAAAAGCTCACCCTTCTATCACCAAAGACCGCGCGGCGTCGGCTCCACTCAAGCGTCCATACAGAGCAGCAAAAGCTCCTTTCTCTTCTCCCAGCCGGAGCGAAGCTATCAATTGCCCTTGATTGTTGGACCTCACCCTTCTAACAGGCATTCATGGCAATCACAGGCTATTTTGTGGATATAAATTGGGATTATCATGAGATACTCCTAGGTTTCATACCAGTTCACGGCCAGCATACAGGCTCCCATCTCGCAGACGTTCTCCTTGAGGTTTTTCAGCAACAGCAGATTCCTAATCGAGTGATTGCGATTACTACAGACAATGCGTCAAATAATAAGACCTTGGTCGATAGTCTATGTGATTCAATCGAACGGTTGGAGCTTCCTAATTTCACTGAAATTGTACGGATTCCGTGTCTTGCTCATGTGATTCAATTGAGTCTGAAATATCTCCTTGGCCTAATGGAGGCTGATCCAAAAAACGATAAGACGGCAACAACATGGTCGGAAGAAAATGGGAGTGTTCTTCAACAGGCAAAGAGACAGAAGGGAATCATTTATACGCTAGCTAAGGTAAAGTAACTGATGCCTTTAACGATTTTATCTAATACTAACTGCTACACTACTAGGTGCGGGCCTTCGCAGTTTTCATTAATGCCAGCCCACAGCGACGGGAGGCATTTCTGAATCTTCAAAGCGAAGAACCGAGGCTTGCCCCGATCCAGGATGTACGCACTCGGTGGAATTCAACATATCTTATGCTCCAGCGCGCCAATCGCCTTTCAGATAGCTACCAAAGATATTGCGCAGAGCATCAGCGCCCAGAATTCCGGCTTGGTAAAAGCGAATGGCGGCAGATCGAATACTTGCTCCATATCACAAAGCCTTTCTACAAATGGACGGTTGGCCTATCAAAGATCAAGGCGACAACGATCCATGATGTGTTCCGGGTCTACAACCGACTGTTTACCCATTTTGAGCAGGCCCAGGCCCGACTTCGGCGAAAGAAAGTGCCTTGGAAAAAGGCCATGCTTAAGGCTCTTGAGGCCGGAAGTAAGAACTTAAGGGATATCTTAATACTGGTATGTTCAGATGATCATCATTATAACTTAACTAAGCTAATTATATATAGAACGGAGCGTCGTAAACCCATGCCATTTCTGGAAAGAGAATGAGTATAGATTTCTGACACTCGCAGCGGTTGCACGGGATGTCTTTTCTATCCCAGCTACTGGCGCCGGTGTTGAGCGCCTCTTTAGTACTGCTCGCGATATCTGCCATTATCGACGAGGCTCATTGAACGAAATAACAATACAGGATTTGATGATGCTTCGTTGTTTATCCAAATTTGATATTGAAAGTGAGGAAACTGGGGAGGATTTCCAACCTGAGGCTACCTTGAATCAGGACGAAAGGACTGAGGGTGATGAGGCAAGGGAGGCGGGACTTCCTGAGTGTACACCAGGGGCAATTAGCGAGGGTGAGGACGGTGATAACTCAGATGAAGCAGGAGAGATTGTTACCGATCAGGAGGCCGCTGAGGACTCAGATGATGATTCGGCACTACATCCATTGCCTATTATCGATACTACAAGTCAGGCACGCCCCCAAAGAGATCGTAAGCGGCGTAGGGATGAAGATCTATACGAGTATACTAGGTAGTTTAATCACAGGATACTATAATTACACTACTTTTTGACAGGAATTAATCCGGAATCATTCAATGCTACCTCCCACTGTAAGCTAAATACCCATTAATACAGGGCATTTCTGCATATCTTATGCAGGCCACGTTTTTCTACGTGTTTGCAGTGTTTATGTACAGTCCCATGGGAGTCCCATCAAAGTCCCATGGGAGCGGACTGGCACCTCCCTCCCATCTCTTGGCACTCCCATGGGACCAAATGATGGGAGTTGGCAAGGTCTAACCTCCACTATATCACTATATTATCAGGAGGCCAGCTCAAGCAATACACAAAATGAATCAACGCCCTCGATCTTTCCGGATGGTCTTGAGGTCTTGCATGAATGCCTTGGCCCAGCATTTGATATTTGCTTTATTCATGGTCTGACCGGAGATCGCCGAACCACCTGGACATCTGATCAACAATCAGAACCCTGGCCACAAAAGTTGCTTCCTTCGAGCATCAGCGGGGCTCGAATCTTGACCTATGGATATGATGCCTATTCTGTACGGAAAACCGTCGTGTCATCTAATCGAGTCCTTGACCACGCTACCAATCTTCTACACGACTTGACAGCTGATAGATCGTCTTGCAATGCTTCTTCAAGGCCTCTGATTTTCATCGCCCATAGCCTTGGAGGTCTTGTTTGCAAAAAGGCGATCCTGGTTTCTCGAGAAAATCCTGAATCCCATCTTCAGAGTGTTTCCAATTGCACGAAGGCAATCATGTTCATGGGCACACCCCATAAGGGGTCTTGGATGGACGACTGGGCTAGGATATCCGCTACAGCTTTCGGTTGTGTTACGTCGACAAACAAGTCTCTATTTGCTGTACTGGATACTGAACACCAATTCTTTGAGTCTATTCAAATTGAATACATGACAATGGTACGGGAACTGCGAGAGGCAGGTACAAGCCTTGAGGTTACTTGCTTTTTTGAGCAGCTCCCTTTGCCGCGGGTAGGAACAGTGGTTTCTAGGGATTCGGGAAAACTCGACGGCTATAATTCTATGAGTATCCGTGCAAATTATATCAATATGGTGAAATTCAGGTCGCTGTAGGAAAATGGATACAAACAATTGGTTGGAGAACTTGACAGATGGATATCACAGCCGAGGTGTGACTCTAATAAGTCTTTTGGAGGGAAAACTTGATATAGATTGTTAATTCTCTCTATTATAGAAAATGAGAGCTTTCATCTACAGACTGATCAAAGAACCTCTAACAAATGAATTGGTGTGTATTAAAAGCATCCGATAGGATACTTCACCCGATGGGGTTTTCCGCTATGCGCTAAAGATTCCATTCACTCAAACCATTTTCTTAGATATGAAAATGAGCTTATACTACGGGAGAGGTTGGTGAGATTACCAACGGTGTACTTTAAGATTGATATAAGGGGGCTTCCTTGGTCTCTTGATGTAGCGTAGAGGTGAATAAATGTTTCATTGAACGCAACCTATTAGGGGCAATTTGAATAATCCATTGCTGTACCACACACACACACACACACACACACACACACACACACACACACACACACACACACATACACACACATACTGTATGAAAGGGTATCTTTATCATACCCACTATCACTATCCTAGATATAATTGGTTATCTTCTGCGCGCACTGAATCTAGTGTGCCGCCTGAAAGGTTGTCGTTTGGTAAAATATAGTTGAAATAATTTGTCTTTGATCTAAAATTTTGATCTTTACAGTCACTAGCGAAATCTGCTTCCTCCCCAACGACTGCTTTTCTTCTCTCGGGCTCCACTGCCAAGGCCTCAGTGCGCAGTTTTTACTCTACGGTCAATTAAAAAGAAATTGTGATGCTGAATATGACGATACCGGCAAACGATGGTACAGTGTGCTTACAATACAACAAAATTGCCTCTGATACCTATCACATGGTATGATGTGAGAAATGAGGCTGAGAACCATGTTTGTTTTGTTTGATATGTTTTGTTTGCTTATCAGATTGGTTATGAAACCTCCATAAATTGCCAGCACTCAGGGGTATGTATAGCTATTCAGAAACCTTCATATTTATCTAAAGATCCTGTAAGATCACCTGATCCGATCTCCCTCAGATGAGTCCACAACATAAATGGGGGAAGGCAATAGACAGCCGGCCCAAGTAATGAAAGGAAAGGTCTTTAATTTACTGAGTGATACAAAGGTTGGTCGACTGAAAAGACCAGGAAGATTGGCTTGATTTCAGTGCTTCTTATTCCATTATTGTTCCAATAGCTGGATGAATGATTATCGATTATGGACAAAGTATTTCAGTACTGGGAGCAAGGACTATAGCACAACTATCTAGGGAGAGAAAACCAATCAAGAAAGAGGGGCATTGAAAAAGTTTCGTTGAACATGGTAATGTGGGATCATGGTGAAACCTTTAGCCTCTTGGAAGGGGGAGGTTGGGAGGTAGACTGATCAGCAAACTGATGTCCCTGGAGAAGTTTCTCTATATCGCGGTATCCTCCCCGACGAGCAGCTTGAAGGGCATTTCCGTACTCTCCACCCTGGGCGTTGACATCGGCCCCTCGCTCTAGCAGCATCTGTGTAATTTTGTTGTGTCCTCTAGCACAAGCAGCCTGGAGGGCATTTCCGTACTCTCCACCCTGGGCGTTGACATCGGCTCCTCGCTCTAGCAGAGTCTGTGCGATCTTGTCGTGTCCTCTAGCACAAGCAGCCTGGAAGGCATTTCCGTAGAATCCACCTTGGGCGTTGACATCGGCTCTACGCTCTAGCAGCATCTGTGTGATCTTGTCGTGTCCTCTAGCACAAGCAGCCTGGAAGGCATTTCCGTAGAATCCACCTTGGGCGTTGACATCGGCTCCACGCTCTAGCAGCATCTGTGCGATCTTGTCGTGTCCTTTAGCACAAGCAGCCTGGAGGGCATTTCCGTAATGTCCATCCTGGGCGTTGATATCGGCTCCTCGCTCTAGCAGCATCAGTGCGATCTTGTCGTGTCCTTCGGCACAAGCAGCCTGGAGGGAATTTCCGTAATGTCCACCCTGGGCGTTGATATCGGCTCCTTGCTCTAGCAGCATCTGTGCGATCTTGTCGTGTCCTTCGGCACAAGCAGCCTGGAGGGCATTTCCGTAAAGTCCACCCTGGGCGTTAACATCGGCTCCTTGCTCCAGCAGCATCTGTGCGATCTTGTCGTGTCCTCTAGCACAAGCAGCCTGGAGGGCATTTTCGAATCGTCCACCCTGGGCGTTGACATCGGCCCCTCGCTCTAGCAGCATCTGTGTAATTTTGTTGTGTCCTCTAGCACAAGCAGCCTGGAGGGCATTTCCGTACTCTCCACCCTGGGCGTTGACATCGGCTCCTCGCTCTAGCAGAGTCTGTGCGATCTTGTCGTTTACTCTAGCACAAGCAACCTGGAGGGCATTTCCGTAAACCCCACCCTGGGCATTGACATCGGCTCCTTGCTCTAGCAGCATCTGTGCGATCTTGTCGTGTCCTCCAGCACAAGCAGCCTGGAAGGCATTTCCGTAGCGTCCACCCTGGGCGTTGACATCGGCGCCTCGCTCTAGCAGCATCTGTGCGATCTTGTCGTGTCCTCTATCACAAGCAGCCTGCAAGGCATTTCCGTAGCTTCCACCCTGGGCGTTGACATCGGCCCCTCGCTCTAGCAGCATCTGTGCGATCTTGTCGTGTCCTCTGGCACAAGCAGCCTGGAAGGCATTTCCGTAGCTTCCACCCTGGGCGTTGACATCGGCCCCTCGCTCTAGCAGCATCTGTGCGATCTTGTCGTGTCCTCCAGCACAAGCAGCCTGGAAGGCATTTCCGTAGAATCCACCTTGGGCGTTGACATCGGCTCCACGCTCTAGCAGCATCTGTGTGGCTTTATCGTGTCCATTCAGTGAGGCCCATATGATCGGGTATGTTCCAGTGTCATCTGGCATATTCAAATCCCCTTTACTAACAGCAAGTAGCGAGCTAACTTGCTGCTCATGACCGTTAAAAGCCGCCAGCTGCAGAGTATTCATTCGGGGCCTTCTGTCGTATGGCATCACTGCTTTCCAAAATATTCGGAACCATAGCGCAAATACCTTTCCACGCATATCATATAATCGATGCAGTCGATCAGTCATTTCTTGATCTGAAGTCAAAGTCATCTGTCGTACGTGATCGGCCCAATGTACAGCCGAATATTCCAAAAAGCTCAGAGAAGCGGGCGATTCACACTCATCGTCGCCTTCCAACTTCACTGTTAACAGGTACTTCACGCACAGAAGAGCCATCTGGTCCTCAGTATCACTAAGGCCGCACGAGTATGCAAAATTGAGATCGTTCGAATTTGCCTTTTCGATGAGAAATTCCCTTGCTGTCTGGTGAATAAGGTAGATCTTAGAGTTATTGACGAAAACGAAAAGGCCGCATAACCGACGCAGCTTCTTCTCTAGCTGCAGTGGATCAATTCCAGCCTGTGCTGCAGGCCGCGGTGGTGTGGATCGAGCCAAACCCAGCGCTATAGCCATTTCTGCTATTGTCAACGGCCGCCGCGCTCCAACAATGATATGCAAGACCTTTTTCACAGTGCTCTTCTGGCTAGAAGGCACTCGACTAAGAATCTTCTCATATGCCCCCCAACTGAAGAAGGGATCATTTGGATTGATTCCTCGGCAGGACAAAGACTATTCTCGAATGTAGATCGAATGTCATCAATGGCCAAATGTAGCCAAAGATACGTCCGGTGTTCCATCTTTAAAAGCTGGTGCTCAAGTCGCTGCTGTATATCCCATGACAACGATGCTGTGTTGGCCAGCTCGTTTATTCGCATCTTCACGACCAAATCAATTTCTTTGTGGATCTGACCATTCTCTTCCTCTCCCTTCAGATGTAGATGTGGAAAGGAATTTGTGGTCTCTCGAAAGCAATTCTGAATGTGGTGATAGGGACGACTAGTGACTAGAAATTTCAAACAAGTATCTTGTGCTGATGAAAATGGCTGGCGGTGGAAGAGCTGGAGCTTCTGAATCAATCGATCTTGATCAATCTCACGGCATTCATCAAGTGCATCAAAAATACATATCGTCTTGCATGATACATCAGATGATGTTGCCGCTGTTAAGATTCGCCACAGCTCATCAACCTCCAGTCGCAGCGCGTCTCCATTCCTTTCCCAGGTGGTCATGGCATGAGGTAAAAGATGGGGCCGCTGCGTGAAAAGCTGATGAAGCATTGAACATAGTGCTGCTGCAAGGCCGTTCTGCTGATCATTATCTTTGAAGAAATAGTAACATGTTGTCACTGAGTTAGGGAGTTCCAGAGAGTCATCGACAATTGATTTCGCTAGCACAGACTTCCCGCAACCTGGGTCGGCGGACACCCAGAGCAGATCATTGCAGCAGCTCTCTTTCCAACGGACATATTCATCGCTCTGCAATGCCCATTGGCAAGTTCCTTCCGCTCGGCGTGGGTTGATATCCTTTTGCTCCTCGTAGTTCGATGTCTTAAAAGCTTGGTGACACCGTTGTTGCTGCTCCGTCAGAGCTCTTTTTTCTGTTCATTTTGGTGTCGCTCTCGTTGATCGTACGCTCGATCTGAATTCTGGTTCGTACTCTTCAGCACATCTATGTCATTCGGTTATATTCACGGGATGATGATTAGACTGTAGACTAACCAGATAGAACAACACTGATCCTCTCCTCAGCCTCAATCCTGCTTAGAGGCATCCTCTGTAGAAGATCTTTGGCGTATGCAGCTGCCACCATCGCTGCATAACCTTGCCACTCTTTGTTCTTGTGCGAGTCCGAGTAGTCACAGATGCCCCGGATCACCAAACAAGGAAAAGTGTTCATCAGCCCGGCTGCTTCCATTTCGAAACAGAGCACGTCTTTCTCCGCCGCTAGCTTATCTCGAATGAAAGCGTCCTTCATTAACTGGTTGGCAGAAGCAATCAGGCCATAGTGAATTGCAGGATTATCCTCGCTTTCAGACCGCTCACGTCGTAGAACCAAGTTTGCAGCATCATTTGCACAAAATGTAGCACCGCAATCTGATTCATGACTGACAGCGGACCGAAAGAGCCTATCTGTGATAGATTCCGGACGTTTGTACTCGCTGCGCAGCCGAGCGTTCGTGTCGAGAATGATATTGATGGCCTCCATAAGCTTATGTCCCTTTCTCTTATATTGTGCCTGTATTCCCGTCATCGCAGTGCGAAGTGTCGTTGGTGGCTGGTTTAAGAACCGCGTATGCTGAAAACTTTGCCCTTGGATTGACTTGCCAAAGTCGTACTGGAAGACACCACCCTGACCACCACGAGGCGCACTGACCACGACATCGCCTAGGCGAACGTCGTGCTTTTCGCTTGGCACGCCGCCACCGATGTCGACCATGAGGCCTATCCTGACGTTATGAAAGGTGTTCAGCATGTTTGTGGCTACATTGGCCGCGGAATCTGTGCCGTATTCGCCATCAGGCAAGACGGCGATGACGACGTTGTGCTCGTACATCTTGCCTAATGTGTAGTCGTTTGTGTCATTCGGCGACACGAAGCTGGGTTTTTCGTGCTCTTCATCGAGAAATTCTTGTGCGGCAACGTATTCCACGGGCAAAGCGCAGATCCAGCCCACGGTGTAGTTCGCTGGGTCTGACATGCCTGCTACTATAGCAAAAAGCGTCCAAAATTGCTATATTGCTTGGTTTAAGCTTGAGACAAGTATGCGACACGGTATTCTGATCATGTATTATTCTTCAACAATAACAAAAGTGAGAGAAGGTTTGAAAGAACCAAACTATGCGACGGTCAAGGAAGAGAAAGAGAGAAACAGTCACCAACCCGGAAGGCTCAGCCTCGTGGACACGAAGCGTACATAGCAGCGGGCGGCAAGATCGAAAATGCTATTGGCGGGAGGCGCCTAATTGGTCTCCACTTAACAAAACAATACTGGGATGTCAGTCCCTGGGCACATATTTCTGGGCTACTTGATTGCCCTATAATCCACGGTTCGTAAGACAGACAGCCAATGACAACGTTTTTCTTTCAAGCCTCAGTCCTGGCAGTGTATTTTGTCGGCTGTGGGGATGCCATAACTATAAATGTCAGATTACTCCCCTTACATCTAATCTAATTCGAACAGTTTTTTTTTTTTTTTTTTTTTTTTTAATTCCCGCTGTGTTGTGGGGTCTTGACTTAGGCCAAGAATGCAGAATTGTGACTGCCCTCATTATTCGAAGATTAGATGCTGATGTTTCCCCTAATCTGGAATAGTGACTCTTCGTGCCTACGTAATATCATTGGATATTACGTAGGTTGGATGGAGCGGATTATGGTATTTCCCTAACGGGAGATAACACGTGACCTAATGAGGCAGGCAGGCCAAGGCGGGGTTGATTTGCTATTGGTGCCCCGTCCGGTGGAAGTGGGTCCACGAAACTTGGCCTTGAGGTTTCGGTGCGGCGCGCCCCGTTGCCAATTCAGCAGAACAGACTTCCCCAGGAATGGGGCTTCATGGAAGGTTACACTGATCAGATATCTCTGCCAACAACCGTCAATTGCATCACACAATAAATTGGACAAGATGAGTGCATTCCAAGGCTGATCTTGGCATTTCTTTGCTTCGATGGGGTGGAGAAGACGGCTCCTGCCAATAGCATCTCTTCTCTAACCGCCCGCTGCTGCACGTCGTGTTCATCATGAGGCTGAGTCTCCCCGGTTGGCAAACATTTTCCCTCTGTCTTACAGGGCTTCTTTCCTTCTCTCAAGCCTCCTCCGCTCTCCTTTGCTCATAGTGATATATGTTGTCCCCTTGAGTTAGGCCTCTATTGCACACCAGACATCAAGACTTTCGAAAGGTCACGCGGGTAACTGATTTTCAGGCTTTTTCCCTCGCGTTGAAGCCATGTCAGATCCTGCGGGGTACACTGTGGGCTGGATTTGCGCCTTACCCGTGGAATACATTGCCGCACAAGAGTTTCTCGATGAAGAGGACAAACCCAGTTTCGTGTCGCCAAACGATGCCAACGACTATACGTTAGGCAAGGTGGGCAAACACAACGTTGTCATCGCCGTTTTGCCCGATGGTGAATATGGAACAGCTTCCGCGGCTAGTGTAGCGACGAACATGCTCAACAGTTTTCACAACATCAGGATCGGCCTCATGGTCGGCATTGGCGGCGGTGTGCCAAGTGAGACCTATGATATTCGTTTGGGCGATGTTGTGGTGAGTGCACCTCGCGATGGCGAGAGTGGTGTGTTTCAATACGATTTTGGCAAGTCGATCCAGGACCAAAGTTTTCAGCATACGCGGTTCTTGAACCAACCACCAGCTGTATTGCGCGCTGCAATGTCGGGGATTCGGACACAACACGAGAGAAAAGGACATCAGCTCGAGGAGGCTATCCACGGCATTTTTCGAAAGAACATGAGACTACGTCGGAAGTACAAACGGCCAGAACCAATCACGGATAGGCTGTTTCTTCCCGAAGTTATCCATCGCCAAGCTGGTTGCGCTGTATGTGCGGTTGATCCTTCGACGTTGGTACCACGAAGTGAGCGGGCGAACGACGAAGATAACCCTGCCATTCACTATGGCCTGATTGCCTCTGGTAATCAGCTGATGAAGGATGCCTTGATTCGAGATCGGCTTGCCGCGGAAAAAGACGTCCTCTGTTTCGAAATGGAAGCAGCGGGGCTGATGAATACTTTCCTATGTCTCGTCATCCGGGGTATCTGCGATTACTCGGACTCACATAAGAACAAAGAGTGGCAAGGGTATGCAGCTATGGTGGCAGCTGCATACGCCAAAGATCTTCTACAGAGGATCTCTCTAAACAGAATTGAAGCCGAGGAGAGGATAAGTGCTGTTGTGTCTGGTTAGTCTAGCGCAGTCTGTTAATTATTACGTCAGCAAATATTGACCTGGGGGCTACTTAGAGGAGCTGAAAGGCATCCAACATCGCTTAGATCAAGCATATAGTCAACACGAGCGGCACTTTAGTGAACAGAAAGCAAGAGTCTTAACGGATCAGCAGCGCCGTTGTTACCAAGTGTTCAAGATCGGCAATTACGCGGAGCAAAAGAACATAAACCCAAAACGAGCTGAGGGAACCTGTCGATGGGCTCTCCAGAGCTCTGAATACATCCGTTGGTGGGAGAGCAACTGCAATGACCTTCTCTGGGTGTCGGCCGACCCAGGCTGTGGCAAGTCTGTCCTAGCTAGATCAGTAATCGATGATTACTTAGACAGCTCTCATCTATCTGTGAGAATATGTTACTTTTTTTTTAAAGACAATGATGAACAGAACGATATTTCTACGGCACTATGTTCGGTACTTCATCAGCTATTCAGCCAGCAACCTCATCTATTACAACACGCCATTGCGACCTGGGAAAAAAATGGGGGGACGCTCCGACAAGAAGTTGATGAGCTTTGGCGGATTTTAATAGCGGCAACATCAGCTGACGTATCTTGCAAGACGATTTGCATATTCGATGCACTTGATGAATGCCGTGAAACGGATCAGCGCCGATTAATTGAAAAGCTCCAAGCGTTTCATCGCCAGCCATCTTCATCAACAGAGGAAACCTGTTTGAAATTCCTGGTCACCAGTCGTCCCTACGATCATATACAGGATCACTTTCGAGCAGTCACCGATTCTTTCCCACATATACATATCAAGGGAGAGGAGCAGAATGACCAAATCCATAAGGAGATTGATCTGGTGGTCAGAATTCAGGTGAGGGAACTAGCTGAGACAGTGCCACTGTCACCAGAGCTTCATCATCGAATCGAACAGCAGCTGCTTCAAATGGAAAACCGTACATATCTTTGGCTACACCTAGCCATTGATGATATCCGCACTACCTACAAAGACAGCCTCCGACCTGCAGAGGATTGGATCACGCTTATTCCGCCTTCTGTGAATGCAGCATATGAGAAGATACTCTGTCGAGTCCCAGCCGGTCTTATGGATAGAGTCAAGAAGATCCTAGAGATCATCGTGGCGGCACGGCGTCCTCTGACCATAAGAGAGATGGCTATGGCCTTGGGAATTGCTACTAGCTCAGGATCAGCAACAACTAAACAGGCTGGGCTAGATCCGATTGGTTTAGAAGGCAAGCTTCGGCAATGGTGCGGCCTGTTTGTCTTTACGAACAACTCGAAGATCTATCTTATCCATCAAACAGCTAGAGAATTTCTCATTGGGAAGGAGAATTCCAGCAATCCCAATTCTGCATACTGGAACAGCCTGACCGATGCGGAAGATCAGATGGCTGAAATCTGTTTGGGATACTTGTTGATGGAGGATTCAGAGTACGATGAAGACAAATCGGGCTCCCTCACTGGGTGTTTCTTGGAATATTCAGCAGTGCATTGGCCCGATCACGTACGAAATATGGCTTTGACTTCAATCCAAAAAGAAACCGACCGAGTGCATCGATTATACGACATAACTGGCAAACCATTCTCAATGTGGTTTCCTATTTTTTGGAAGGCTGTCCGACCATACGAAGAAACTCCTGTAATGAGTGCACTTCATCTGGCAGCATTCAATGGCCATGAACGTGAGGTGCATTCCATACTTGGTGTGGGTAAAGGTGATGTCAATACACCTGATGATACAAAAACATACCCGGTCATGTGGGCTTCATTAAATGGACATGACGGGATCGTGGAACTTCTGCTAGAGCAAGGAGCCGATGTCAACGCTCAGGGTGGACGTCTCGGAAATGCCCTCCAGGCTGCTTGTGTCGGAGGACACGACAGGATTGCACAGATGCTGCTAGATGGAGGAGCCGATGTGAACGCCGAAGGTGGATCTTACGGAAATACCCTCCAGGCTGCTTGTGGTGGAGGACACGGTATGATCGCACTGATGCTGCTAGAGCGAGGAGCCGATGTCAACACCCAGAGTGGATCTTACGGAAATGCCCTCTACGCTACTTGTGCCAGAGGACACGGTATGATCGCACTGATGCTGCTAGAGCGAGGAGCCGATGTCAACGCCCGGGGTGGACCCCACGGAAACGCTCTCCACATTGCTTGCTCTGAAGGACACGACAGGATTGCACAGATGCTGCTAGAGCGAGGAGCCGATGTCAACGCCCAGGGTGGACCGTACGGAGACGCTCTGTACATTGCTTGCTCTGAAGGACACGATAAAATTGCACAGATGCTACTAGAGCGAGGAGCTGATGTCGACGCCCAGGGTGGACCCCACGAAACTGCTCTCCACATTGCTTGCTCTGAAGGACACGACAGGATTGCACAGATGCTGCTAGAGCGAGGAGCTGATGTCAACGCCCAGGGTGGACACCACGGAAACGCTCTCCACATTGCTTGCTCGGAAGGACACGACAGGATTGCACAGATGCTACTAGAGCGAAGAGCTGATGTCGACGCTCAGGGTGGACTATACGGAAACGCTCTGCACATTGCTTGTTCTAAAGGACACAAAAATATCGCACAGATTCTGATAGAGCGAGGAGCCGTTGTCAACGCCCAGCGTAGACTTCACGGAAATGCCCTCCAGGCTGCTTGTCTGAGAGGATACTACCATATTGTGCAAATTCTCCAGGGACAGTATTCTCCTGATCAATCGACCTCCCATCCTTCCCCTTCCAAGAGGCTTAAGGTGTCACCAGGATTCCACATTACCGAGTTCAACTAAAATTGTGGGAAATAATACCTCAATGTCTTTCATTCTTTTGCTCTCTCAGAAATGATGCTGTATAATCATTGCTCTTGGTACCGAAATACTTTATCCATGATCCAGCCATTCATACAATAACGGAATAAGAAGCACACAATTGAAAAAAAAAAAAAAAAAAAAAAACCGTTGCTCCTTTTCAGTCGAACTTGTCTTTGTATAGCTCACTTAAAACAAGATCCTAGACTCATACGATGTGATAGGTACTAGGGGTAGTTAGTCGTAACCCACTGTATTATCACTTGCTGGTATTGTCATATTCACCATAACAATTCTTTGAATAAATGACGGTAGAGTAAAAACTGCGCACTAGTGTCTTGGCAGTGGGGCCTCAAAATAGAAAAGCAATGCTTGGGGGGAAGCTGATTTCGCTCATGACTGTACCGTTTACAGGTCACGGCCAGGACATTTAACGAGAGGCATTGGTAGTGCTCTGCGCAAATTGGCCGTACGGCACCTTCAGGTATTAGAGGCGCGAAAGGGCAAAAAGAAAAAGAAAAAGAAAAGCATCGATCAAAGATATTTTAATTAGAACTATTACTGTACGGGCAGGACTCCGACCGTAACACGAACTATCAATCTTATATTAAAGTATGGCATACAATTCCTTACCCCTGACGGTACGCTATCCCAACGCGAAAGACAGTTTTATTCAGTTCCAGACCTTCCAGACCTTTTAGATAACCAAGTCCGATCTCGCGCAGGACCTCAGGCCCTAGGCACCCTTACGCGAATCAGGCCAGATAGTATTAACGAGTATATCGTCTTTACTACCGACATGTCCGCGGAATTCGTTAAGTGGTGGCTTCAAACCGATTTTGGTAAGAAGAAGCGGCTAAACTGGGAGGTCAGCCGTCGCGCAGACTGCTGGACTGGGTTCCAACAAGTTGCACATACTAAAGATGGAAAGCCTGGCGTTATGTGCAATCGGTGCCGTACAGTTCTTACACATTCAGCTACAAGTAATACTGGAAACTCATCGATGCAGAGTCATCTTGAAGGGCCAAGGTGTCGACAGCGAATTACGAAGAAGGGTAATATCCAGCAACCACTCAGCGACGCGGTATGTTCGAAATAGCCTATATTGAATATTAATACTAATAATGAATTCACAATCTTTTAGGACGAGAGAAGACCAGCGCCTATCTATACCCAAAAAAATGGGAAGAGAAGATACCAAACCTGAGCTTTGCCGTAAACTGAAGGGAGATGGACCCTTGGTTGGCAGTTTTATCATGGATAATATGAAGGCGAACAGAACAGGAAGCTTTGAAATCGGGTGTAGAAACAAGAACTTTCTTCTGCAAATCCCAGCGAGGAAGGAAAATGTGATGCGTAAACCAAGCTGTACTGCGCTGGGTTTCGTACAATTTGACCCTCCGATTAGTCGATCCCCAAGTAGCGTCTATTGAGATATTATGGACTTTGCCTCTCTTCATCTGAATGCGAGTCAGTTAACGGGACGAAGTGAAGAATGTTTGACCTTTACTAGTGAGGTTTTGTCATGGAATAACGGCATTAAATAGAATTGTGTGAAGCTAACGTCCGAGGAGTAGAAGACAATGGAGAAAGCTAAGCCAAAAATTCAAGTACTTCCGTCTCACACACCTCGCTGTGTATAATCTAGGCTGCTTTGCTGTTAGGACTGATAATTTTCAACCACCTCAAACCTTTCTGTTGGATCTTGATCCTAAGCACTACTGGCATGATGGTGAACCAGCCACGTAAAATGAGCCGTTCAGGTGATCCAACCGGCCGACTACATCACTTCTTCCTACAGACTTTCAACCCGAAAACTCTGATAATATGGCGTCTGGGGGGCGAGATCCCCATCTTGTACATGATTACTTTAGTTAAGACCATTGGCATGGCTGATTCTGGCAACCAGCTCCTATAGACAATCTGCAATATATTCCCGAGCGTTGAAGAGGGTGATTAAAATGCATAGTAAACAGCAGAGGAAGGAGCTAGGATGGATTTGATAAATGAATAGAATAGTTACGCATTGCAGCCAAGGGGGCAATCCTAGGAAGGCTAGGTGTAGTTCTCTCGGTTGGGCATCCATCACGAGAGGGTGAAAATAGCAGGAAAGGGTAGAACGCAGATAATTGGGAAGGCGGTCGTTTGAGTTTCCTATATCATAATTTAATACGTGCATCATCCCAAAAAAGCATCTTACGCGGACGCAACCTCCTTGGGAGTTTAATCTGGATTAGGGATTACAAACACTATGCCCAGTTCAGACCGACAGTTTTGTCGTCGCCGGATTGAGCTACAAGCCAGTTTAGAGTTAGTCGTGTGGAAAGTATCAATAGTATTAGTACTTCAATCCAGCTAGTCAACGCTCTTCCTGAACCGGATCCAGGGTCTTGTTGTCGACGCGCCCAATGTTTTTGCGACCGTGAATGCCCGCGTACAATCTGCCGTATGGAACACCGAGTCCTCGCGCCCAAGGCTTGATTTTCGGTCTTTTCCTTCGATGTTTGGCTGCAATAGCCTTTGAAATTCCACCCTCGGAAGCCTGTATTTTTCTTCGGCGTTGTTTAGGGGAGAAAATCACGTACAAATTTGACCAACGGAAGAGGAAATTCCGGTCGTCACATGTACTGTATTGACGGTGTTTTTTTGGAGTCAAAGAAAGACGTACGTTCTTCACTGCCAGGTAACTAGGAATAACTAGAGGAAAGCGGATGAAAATGAACGAGGAAAACTGGGTTAAATTAGGACCAGGTTACTAAAAGTTAACTCCGACCCACGCTGAGTGCCGTCTTGGTCTGGGCCCTCGACAAAAATGGGATTTGCATTTGAATTTAGTCACCCTCAAATTTAGAACCAAGGTCTAATTACCGCTAACATCAAACGGTAAGACCACACCCGAAACTTGTTTGATTCAAAGTAACGTGCACCGATGAAGAGGTAGACGAGAATTTTGCCATGTCCCAAAGATTGCCATATTATCAGAGAACCAAACCTGGGTAAAGCTACTGCTAAAGCGCGGGGCCAACATACATCCAGTGCATGGATATAAACATCTAGTCACTGCTTCATGGCTTGGATGTCAAGAAATAGTTACTCTTCTTCTCGAAAAAGGAGCCGACATCAACCAGGCCGATGGTCACGTTGGAGCGCCACTCCAAGCTGCGGCCTCCTGGCACAACCACATCGAAATCGTGAGAAAGCTTCTAGACAAGTGCGCTCTCGTGAACTTCGAATGCCCAATGAGTGACTACTTCGGGAGTGCGCTCGTTGCCGCTGCAGAGAGAGGGAACTTGGAAGTGGTCATTATGCAATCACATAATGACCACCAGATCGCCAAACCCGCCCTAAGTCTTTCAGAAGACAGTTCTTGTTTATACACCCGATTTCAAAGATCTTTGTTCTGCTCGCCTTCGTATTGCCAGCTGTCTCTCGATCAGACCCGATCTCAGTCTCAGTAAAGGGGTCGCGACGCCACGGTGGTAATGATCGTGAGTGTATAATAGCGACCGATACCGCCTTTTGTGTCAAAACTAGAGAGATCTTCTTTCAAACCTTGATGGTATGATACACTGATGTAGAAATGAATAGCGCGGAAAAAGTTCGTTTTGAAGCTGATCAGATAACAAATACTAGAAGCTTTGAATGCCAGTAACTATAGAAGATACAAGGGTCTAGAGTTAGACATTTGGAGTGCCTAGAAGTCAATCAAACAGGCAACGACCTGTCAACAATTCCGACCCCGTTGCATTCCCAAAAGGGACTCAATAAGCAAGAGTGCGATAATAGGTAGAAAACCGTGTGCAGTCGAAGAGTGATACTCATTGTTAGCCCCTTTTCGTCGAAATCCCCTTCTACATACCGCTTTTGGATGAACTTAGGTTCTTCGTAGTACATTCGCGATCTGCAGTCGGTATAATTATGTTTTAATTAACTGCACTCGATCGTGCCACAGCGGGCGTGTGCGTATAAAGGGCGAAGTGGAATTGGTATCTGGGGAAATCCTTCATGCTGATATACTCAATCCGGCGAAAACATTGTGTGTACACACTCTTAGAGCAGCGTCTTATGAGTAACGTTACGCGCCCACATCACTAGCTCAATTTGGGCTATTGAGACGGCAATGTTATTACATTAGCACAAGCCTGGATCAAGCCAGGTTGTGGACCGGAAGCACGAGTGTATATAAGGTCCACTTCTACCGCCCTACTCTCAAGTAACAGTTTTATGATGAGTAACTTTCCATTCCTCACAAGATATGGTTGCTCGCTGGTACCTGTCCGTTGCAGTATATTCCGAAAATAGGCTTCCCCTTCAAATGCTCTCGATCCGTATATGAAACCAGTTTAGCTCGGATGCGAGGCTAAGCAGACATGTTAGATTATGCTAGTCCTAACATAGATCAAAGGTCGTTTCCGGTACACGCCGAGAAGCAGATTGTGAATACTATGGGGGAAGCCGTTTCTGAAATATACTGCAAGTTTGCATCTACCCCTTTTTTTAAATCAGCAACTTCACCACCGCATTGTGCCCATTCTCTACCGCCCAGGATAAGGGTGTACGGCGGTAGCAGTTGGTTAGATTCACATTCACTTCTTTGCGTTGGAGTAATTGTTCCACTACTTTGTCCATTCCATTCCTTGCAGCCCACGATAGCGGTGTTCCGCAATAGCAATCCATTGAGTTAACATCAACCTTCTCATTTTGAAGGAGGAGTTTAATTACCGCGTCATGTCTGCTGGCAATAGACCAGGACAGTGGTGACAAAGCATCGTCGCCCTTCAAGTTCACATCCACCCCTACCTTTTGGAGTAAAAGCTTCACCACTGTAACATTGCCATTTCTTGCAGCCCAGGACAATGGCGTCCGGTGATACCGGTCAGTTAGGTTCACATCAACTTCCTCATTTTGAAGAAGGAGTTTTACTACGGCGTCATGATTTCTGGCAACAGCCCAGGATAGTGGTGACAAAGCATCGTCGATTTTCAAGTTCACATTCGCTCCGTTTGAAAGCAGACACTTCACCACTTCCTCCTGTCCATTCTCTGCAGCCCACGATAGCGCAGTCCTTTTATTCTGCCTGTCTACCACATTGACATCGGATCCATGCTGAATGCATAGCATGGCCGTGCCTAGATTGCCACGTTGTGCAGCGAATATAAGTGCGTGACTTTCTAAACCTTTGATATCACGTTGATATAAGCGTTGGTTGAAGCATTCATAAAATAGGTGGCAGGTCCGACATAGTGAATTAATATCAGACTTTGAAGTTATGTGTTCTGCGATGATTAAAAGTAGCTCTGCCGGTAGTTTACTTAAAGCCATAGTATAGGTTAATGCAATGCGGGAAAGGTGATAAGAAGAATTACAAAAGCTCCAGTAGTAGGACGACTGCTAGACACTTGCACGTAATAGATTTTTGGTACGGATCGCAAACTGGTACTGGTGGTTCAAATCTACATGAGTTTTATTTTTTACATGGTAGCCAAAAATAGATTCATACCACCTTTCCAACCTTGCAAACATTCCCGCCAATCCACAGTGAAACATGCCCTGAGCTGATGGGTAATTTTCGATTAAATTGCAAGAGATGTATAACATTGGGCTCTATTATATTGTTAAATACTTTTATCGCTAATCTGACGCCATCATGTTCCCCTTCTTTGACGCATCTTCTAAAGTATTTTCACTACGGGCAATGGGGGCGGGAAGCGGTTGCGGAGGGATGCACGTTACTGTACTAAAACTGATCCTCTTTTCTACTTTCCGCTTTGTCTTTTATCCCATATGAAGTTTTATTCTACGGTCGCAGTTAGCCTGCTTCTCACGGTCGGCACCTCTGCGCAGTCAATCATCCACAGTGGTCAAGGCTTTGGAACCTACTACTACGCTATCGACCAAATCGATAGCTGAGGTACTACGTTCGAGTACCAAAACCAAGGGGGAGTAATGTGCAGCTCTGCGACCCTGCTTTCACTTGACCAGGTGGAAACCAACTATGTAGTTGCCAAGAACAACACCCAGCTAGGCACTGGCCCGTCTATGCTGCGGTAAGAGAGTTGTTGTCTCCGTCAATGGACAGCAGTCTGACCTGCAGCTCTTCATTGGATACGGCTGCCAGCGCTGTGGCCTCGGCTCTTCTATCAGCGATATATGGAATGCGGAGGGTGCTCCGGGCCTTGATTTCAGTTAGACCGTCCTAGACAAGTTGTCTGGTGGCAAGCATCGCAGACATGGATATTCTCCTGATATTCTAGAACTGCACTTGACTTTCCTTTTCTTGCAGAAATTGTAAGCTCCCACATCATATCCTAAAAAGTCAGAATTGCCTTAAATGCATTCTGGTTGGAGCTTTCAAACCATACTCTTTTGCCTTGTTACCGAATACACGTATTCCTCGAGATGTCACCTTGGCACCAACCAAAGTCGCAATTTTTCCATCACCAATTAAAGGCGGACGACCCCGCAGTATCACTCCAGTCATACTGGAGGCTTTGTGCGACCATCTGATTGGAAAGCCTGCTTTATATCTGGACGAGATGGTGGTTTTTCTCTGGGACTTTGCACTGTTCTCTCCCACTGACGAATTCAACCCAGAAGAACGAATGACCAATTCGAGCGGAATCCTTCCCGTCCGTTTCCATTGTGAATAGCAAGACAGCTAAACGACTGCAGAAAGAGTAATGGCAGCGTGCTTGACATCAGTTGTTGATCAACATTGCGCTAATTAAAAACCACGGTGCTAGGGCAAATCTCATTATATAACTAGGTGGTATGGTATGCTACCTATATATGCTCGAAATGGAATTGTTCTCTATCAGATGTTCCGAGGCTCAACTGATGCGTCCGTGTTTGAGGATTTCATTGAGTAGATGCCTCAGAATTGTGTGGCCGGAGCCGAAACTTAAGTGTGGAGTGACAATCAATAATCGGGAGGTATCAATGGATACGGAGGAAGACGTTGATTTGGCCCTAAACACCTTCAGGCAGTTATTATTAGTAAATAAAAGTAATAAAATAAAAGTAAGAGAAAGTCAGACACCGAGCCCCGTAATCACTGGTATTAATCAAGTTCAGCATTTATTTGTCGGTTTATTGCTTTTACCATTCACATATTCTTGTCTATGAAAGACCGAAGAAAATGACCTCAAAGAGCGTGGGTTCCGAATCGAAGATATCGCTTGGCTAAAGAAACGAGATAAAGTGCTGGGAACATTTGCTACGCTGGGCATTTGGTTCGACTCCGCAGAGAGCGCGCAATGGATGATCGACGACGGTATTCTTCTAGACGAGAGGTACATTGGAATAGTAGAAAAGTGCGAGAGTTGCAATTGGGAGAAATGGAAGGGCAAAAGCTTGAAATGGTGTTGAGAGCATCCCGAACTAAATTGAATAGTAACACAATCAGAGCGAAACGAAACCCAAAGGTACTTTCTGACATTATGTTCCGACAGTAAGGGTTAACAAAAGCCGCATTCATTGATCACATTATTGATAAATATATCCCTTCCACTTATAGGATCCTCAACAGTGACATGGTGGTGAGCGATTTTGAGACCTCTTAGTACTACCCGTACTTCTCGGAGGAGATCCGCCCCAAAAGTAGGATAGTTCTGAGTCTCCTCGGCAAATTTGTAGTTCTCGTTTCGAAGGAACCCCTCAACCGAGGCCGTAGCTAACATGCAACGAACTGGGTGCTCGGCAGGCAAATTAGCTGCTGAAGCAATGTGCTGAGAGGTGATATCACGTGTGTTGGTATTGACACAGGTATTGAGTGCTATGAGAAAATCAGGAGGTGGATTGGCAACAAAAATGTCCTTGAGGTTCTGAGCCATTTGAGACTCCATCCCAGTAATGCTGCACATGTCCGCAAGCCTCGTAAACTCGATGATAGCTGATACCCGATCTTCAGGGTTTAAAGAATCAAAGGTAACTCTACCCAGGTAAAGCCATTGTAGAAGTCCCTCAAAACTTTGCACTGAGACAACACCATCGACTGCTTCTAGAATTGCTGATTGAGTCTCACCCTCTGAGAACCCGCTTTCAAACATAGCTGCGAAATATGCCGATTCTTTACAGAGTAGTGTTTTTGAAACTGTGTATTCTCGATCACTAGAGTTGATTACAATTCTGACGCAAGGTCCATGATAGTCCGGGAGGAAGCTAAACAACTTATGATTAAGACAAGGCCAATCCCAGAGAAAGCAACCTACTTACGACCTCGCGAATTCTTCGGCGTCTGCATCGGATACTGGGGCCATGTCTTTAAGCAAGCAGGCCAGATTCTCAGCCATAGGGGGGAACGAAGGTGGTTCAGCGAGAAACTTGATATATGAAAAAGAACTTTCAAAGGAAGTCTTTCAAGATAGAATTTCATTAGAGATGGGGCACAAGTTTGACTTGAAAAAATAAAAATTAGTCGTTCGGTTCTGTGTAGAAGGGAATGCCCAGTTACCCCGCTCCAAAGAAAAGTGAAATGAACCGGGACCGCCAGATAGTAGCCAATCACCTTAAACTAATCGCCGACGAGTCACGCTGTAACTCGCAAACCCTAGTAGTTAAAGGCGGGACCACTAGACCCGAAACGTACTAGCACCCGCTAAAACTCAGGGGAACGTCCGCTGAAACTCGCAGTGGGAATATGGGGTAGAAGAGCGCAGTAAAGCATTAGTAGTTGAGTGCTAACGACAGCTAGACTCTCGAGAAGCTCTTGGCTCTCATTTGCTATGGCTTCGTCACCTGGGGGGGGGGGGGGGGGGGGGTCTGGAGTCCAGACTTCCGCAAAGCCCAACTTTGGGCCCAACCCTTGGGCTCGAAACTCGCAAGCGAGGTTATTTCGATGTGTCTGGCCAGTCTTTTTCATGTCTCGTTTATTCTGAGCCTCGATTATATCCTCATAACTCATGACCTTCGCATTACCTACTTTCCTTGCTGGTTGAGATGTTCGACTTCGTTTCTCATTGTTTTGTATCAACAGTCGCCCATTCTCGGTATGTAGAAGGACACGGTCCGCAAATGCCTTTTCTGTTGCATGGGCGAGACACTTGACGAGATTCTTAGAATCATCATCCCATCCACGAGTCTCTTTGTCCACCTGACGACATAAAAGCTTGAGGCCTTCAGCCGTGATAGGAGTTTGTAACTGCTCGACTTCCACGGCATGGTTGGCCGACTGGACAGTTTCTACCTGGGGACGGCAATCACCTCCTGGGGGTGGTTGGATATCTCTAAGCACCCGATCTGGGTTCCACGGGAACAAACCACTTTTGGACCAGCCAGCGATAATATTACGGGATGTCATCGCCGCCTTCCGTGCTCGGTCATACAGAGAACCAAAATGCTCCAAACGCACGGCATTCGCTCCACCACTATATAGTAAGTCGACTTGTTCTCGGTAGGCCGTTTTAAGTGCACTGAACACACCCACGTCACACGGTTGAAGCTTATGCGAAGTATGCGACGGAAGTCGGCACAGGATAATGTTATTCTCAAAACAGAATTTTAGAACTTCAAGTGACTCATGTGCTGCGAACCCATCACTGATCAAAAGACGTGGCCGATCGCCAGCGCGCGCCTTGGTCTGCGGATCGAATACGTGCTGGATCCAGTACAGATTGATGGTGCTATCCGTATATCCATTTTTCGAGCAGGCAAAATGCCACCCAGGAGTGGGGAAAGTGGTCCAGTTACTACGGTGGGTGGAGGCAGGCCATATGATAAGGGGTTTCAGGGACCTACCGTCGGCAGAGATGCATTCAACTGCAGTGACCATAGTCCGTTTTACTCCAGCACCTCGGTATTTGCTCAGGTCGCCTCGACCTACTAATACTTTGATGGAGCCTAGAACACTCAGAAGCACGCCAGTTTCATCCATGTTATAGACATTCTCTGCAAGCACCTCAGCAAGATCAAGCTCCGGCTTGATGATACGAAACCATTCCTGCACTTTATCGTATATACTATGATCGTGTCTTTTCCAGTCGATCGCTTTCAATGTCTTCGATTTGACTTCAGGGTGGCGTTTGTAGAAGGCTTGGGGCCATTTCTTCCCTGGAAGTCGGAGGTCGTCGTCAAGAGGGATGGAGACGGGCGACGAGCGACGGCGCGCGATCTCCCACGCCAAGGCTCGTAAGAACTTGATCGGTAGGGGATATCCATTTTTCGATAAACGTAGAGCATGATCTACCATTGACTTTTCCTCCTGTGGGGTGAGATATTGTTGCTCCGCAGCACGCTCCTTCTTGGAAACTCTACCACGGTCACGGTCGCGTAGCGTGGAGCTTGGAACACCAGTAGATTTTGATAGGGCAAAATAGTTTTTAGTCAGCCCAGAATCTTTGGCTAGGGCGAGTACGCTTGCCGCTGGGTCGTTATACTCAGTCATATAATCTAGCGTTTGTGGTTGTGTAACGGAAAAGCCAAGTTCTCCCAGAAGGTGGGCGATGGCTCTAACCCTGACAGGCACATGACTCGAGGCTCTAAAATTAGACGCGTTCGATACGGTACGAAGCCCGTTACAGTATGGATGGATGGATGGATGATATCATTTACCCTGACCCCTCGCTTTTAGTTGAAACCCTGGATTAAGGTACAAGTGTGATATTCTTCATCTATATGAGGAGATCCAGCTATTTGTAGTTGCAGCAGCTCATCTCCCTGCTGCCTAGTGGAGTGTCTGCCTAACAGGCAGCCACTCCTATAGATCTATATACATCACGTGACCTGGGATCCAACTTCGACGAGAGGTCAGCGTAAATGAATTACACACACACACACAGACTGTATGATGTTTCGGTGTAAAGCCTAGTTTGATATTGAACTTAAAGAACTACCCGAGGAGGATATTCCAATGGATTCTATACAAGAAGTAGACGAACAGAGAGAGGCTGAGCTTATTACGGAGGTGCCTGAAGCAATCAGCGATGGTGAGGATTCTGATGATAATGATAATGATGACGATCCTGTCGGACTTTTCGAGGAGGAGTTTGTAAAGGCGAGTCAACTTTCTCGTCCTTCTATAGTGGTGAGTGGGCGGGAGCGACAACGAAGTGAGTCAGTTGACAGTGAAGATGAGAGTAGTCCCCCTCTTCCTCTTTGTGGAGATGAGAGTGGCACTCAAAAGCGCCCTGGATTAAGAGAAGCAAGGAAGCGTGGTAAACCTAATGATGCTCAATTTGTATTGTATTAATATGATTATATATATGAATTAATGACTGCAATCATACTCCTATACATAGTATAAAAAATCTATTATATGCCAGTGTTATCAACATTTTATCAAATTACTTAAAATACAGAGCCAAATTGCATAAATAATGCAAGTCACGAGGTCGCTCTCGTTGAGTTAACGCCTCCACAATACCAGTTGGCTATCGTTATCGTAATGATTGTATTGCCATATATGAGTCATCGTCATAGTATAGCAATATTACCATCCAGAATTGTTCTGTAGATCTGGCGATCTTGCAAGATCTCCTGCTAAACGTACGTATACCGTAACGAGCGGAGTAACCGTGCCGTAATATTGCAGAGGTACTTCCCTCAACGACCGAGAATTATCCACCATCTTGGGTAGTCAGTTCGTCAAACTCAACAGACATTCATTTGGCCATCTGCTCTTTGCTACAAAAAAGTTACTATCGAAACTAAGTCGGATAAACGGGGCTGTGACAACGGCGAAACTTGACCTCGAAACTCCATTGGATCGCAAACATGTCACACATACGTTGTAGACCCCTCATGCTACTTCCTACTCCAGCTTCCAAGGAAAGGAAGCATAGAGAAGCTGCTTCAGTGGTTACATGTACATATCATCATATAAAAATCTCTGTAAATCCGCGTTCATCGTGTGCGCGTCGGTACTTATACCGGTATATTTCATGAGTCAGATATGACGTAATATTACAATCAATGTACTGTGACAGACAGTACATTACTGCTTTTTCGGAGATACCTTGCTTGATCCGCCAGATCCAAATATGGCGACAAGCTCTCGGCATGGAAACCTTGGTGTCGAGGGGGAGGGTTCCCACGATGAAATATACTCAAACCTGGCAGTAATTTTCGATCAAATTGGAAGGAATATATAGCACAAATATCGATTATTCATTTACCATTTCTTGAGAGCATTTCTAGGTATTATGTTGGATTTTCACTGCGCGTCTTCCAAAGCATCCTCACATCGAGCGGTGAGGGCGGGAAGCGGTTGCGGAGGGATGCACGTTAGAGAACCTTACCATTGTGAATTTTACTAATACGCTCGCTATACCTTGATTTCCGTCATAAAATAAAAGACAAGAATTACAAGCATGAACATGATGGACGTAGATTTGCAAAGATTTTACATGACAATTAGTACGTTTTTACGGCTGGAGTAGTTAATGTACATTTACATTTATTGTTTATGGACTAGATAGAGGCATAAGTTACCTAGAATGCACGAGTAACCGATTCGCCATCGGATTAGGTAGAGTAATCTCAGTAGACAGCTAATTAAACCCTACATTCTTCTCTATGGAATTTTGAGAAGATCGAGAGCGTATTGGTGGCATGGTGGGTGGTTGAATTAACTAAGTGCGAAATCATAGACGTTTTGGGTGCGCAGCTCGCTTGTGGAATTTACGTTAAAAGAAAAACAAAGACCGGCTTTGTACTAAAGAGATATAAAGTCGACCCAATCGCCCATAAATTATAGGGAGGTCTTGGCTCTACAAAAATCGAAGTTCCCTCATCTCTTACCTCTCTACCAATCCCTCTAGGGTTAAATGCGCTATTCGAGTCCGGTAAAATGCCACACCGGAGCCAAGTATCTGCAGCGTCTCGAAACAGAAGATCACTACCTATCCTACCTCCATGGAAACTGCGAATGATCTATGATATGGTAGTCAGCAAAAGACTGACTATAGCGGATATGGCAGAAGCAGCGGACTGCAGCGCGGAATCAATAAAAGAAATTTGTCATTTGCTTCAAATCTTAGCCTTCCGCGAGAATGAAAATCCTCACCCGCCATCTCTAACAGTCAATATCAATATCTTACCGGCAGGTTCCTCCACACCCCCATCAGTCTCAATTTCGGCGACATCTAAGGCTGTGAATATTCACATGACGGGGAATATCACGGTTTCTCTTCCTAGAGAGGGCGCCATCGAAAAACAAGAAGCATGACCGACGTGAGCGCTATCATGCTGAGACGGCCATTGGAGTGGGGCCGAGAAAATAAGAGCTGTCGTCCAGTTGACTATGTTCTGAGCGAAGCATTTACTAGCGCCAAGTCCGGATGTAAGGCGGCGTGGTTTCAGTACGCCCTTCTTGTTTTATTTTTGATTTTCCTATCTGGTTTTCCCGAAATGACTTCCTCTAATTGATTTCCTCGATTGATGTGCAGTTACTTGTGGACACAGGCATTGATTGTGAAAATAAAGATGTCAGTTCCTAAATCAAATAATCCTAACTAACATCATGTTTACTAATAGCCCACGTACTCGTGAAAGCTGTTCGCGCAAACCCAAAAAGTGAACTCATCCTTAGTACTATGCGTCCCTAGCCTAGATCAGTGACTACGTATGATATCACTACGCCTTAATTAAAACACATCGATTCCTTTTTCTTTCGTCTATCCTTCATCTAGTGTACCGCGTCGAAGAGGCTTTGTACAAGATATTTACCGAAGGAATATCTATATATTTTGTATCGAAGCGGCAGCAAATTTTGTTTCGCTTGAAAATAAGTCAACTGAAAATATACCTTCCAGATTAAGAAAAAGATAATATTACTTAGAGGAATATAAATTTAAATGTATTATGTTCAAAATTGGAATTTCATCCCACGGATGGGGCTAAGAAGGAATGCGCTAATGTATCACTACAGTTTAGTCACAATGGCCGACAACTAGTTAAACGTATTTCACATGCGAGTGGATCAGCCAATCCAACCTACTAATTTCAAATGCATATATCTCAACCAAAACTCCATTAAATTAAATACACTAAAATCATCTATCTAGCTGAACATCTATTGATTTTATGCCCTATTTTTCCACAGCCACTACACTTTGGTGGCGCCCGTGTATGTGGTTGTAAATAGGCCTCGCCAAAAACATCTAGAGGGCGGGCGGAGGGCAGGTAAGAGCCTGCCCTCGCCCGCGACCTTTCCTAATTTAGCTGTATAATTCTGCTGAATCACCCTCATAGATCACCGTTATCAAACAGTGTTTTCGTACGAGATATTTTCATACATGCGCTCAGAAATTCGAAGAAACTCACTTGTATTCTGATTAACCATAGTAGGTAATGGTATAATTACAGAATTGTAATACCTTGCCCTGGTACAGCAGCGCCCAACTTCGCCTTCCATGTCCCTCCTCTAAATCCGCGAACCCCGCCGCTCCACCCGGTCGACCTATCCCACAACGTACCGTCCAGGAGAAATTGTTCATCTCCACCGCCTATTCCACCATCACTGCCAGAGCTCTGTCGTTCCAAGGGCAAGTGCTTCATGGTGTCACCCCGCCTCAACTGGCCCAAAATGGCTTCCACTACCAACCACACTCAAGTTAAGTCTACGGGATTAAAAAATTGAAACAATATGATCCCTCATTACCTCCTCTTTTTAATTCGTCAATTTGACAAAATGCCCTAGAATCCGACACAATCATCAACCGAAACAATAAAAAAAACAAAACGACTGGCAATCCCACGTCCGTTAAGAAGCCCACAAATTTTCGACTAATTGCCCAAAATCAACATACTTTGCACCGACATGAGCACACTAGGTATAATGTCCGGGCTAGATACCTACTTCAAAGGCGTCAAGCCATCAGGCTTCAAATTAGTTGTTTGCACATCTTCGTATAAGTTTATGTAAATCAATTCGTTTAATAATCACCACTGGAAACCACATCTTCCGATGGTTGAAAGCATATTTTTATTGAACACTAGGTTTCATATCAAGAAATTTCAAACATGTTACATCTACATTTGCTTATTTACGTCTTTTTCGTCAGGTACTCGGTAGATTGCATGTAGCCGCGAACTTCTTGCAAACAAGCAGCAAGTACTCTCAAACCTTTAGGCCTATATGTCAACAAAGAACACCCTCTGATAGGCTCTGGCGGTTCCTTTCTCCTTGGCTAAGTAAAGAGGATTGCAAAAAGGAACTGCACCTGGCATGGCCCTACACGAGCTTAGTGATACTCGGAAAATGATGGATAATAATGGGTTCCTCGGCTATTTACTTCGTACAGGAAATTAAATTTGATGAATTCAGTCATGTAAGATATTTGCTTTGTTGAGCAACATTTCCAAAACAGGGGTCCAATTTTCAGAGGCCAGATACTGTAAAGCTAGTCTATGCTTCGACAGTGCTCAAACATTTTCCAGCAATACTCTCGCCACAACAAATCCGCCACAGCGACTCAAACAGTTATTTTATGTCTCCGACTCTATCTTCCCAAGAGTGTGGAATAGGCCACAGTAGCTTCCGCTTTCTAACTGCAAAGGGCTCACATTTTTACCAACTCTTTCCATAGCTAACAATCAATTCCAGGATGCCCCTCGAGATCTGGCAGCTGGCACAGATCGAAAGGATCGAAATTGGGTGGAGGGCTTGACTTGGACACCTCCGTTGGTATTATGTGATTGATTGGAATCTTTCTTTATGGGTTTATTCAATTGGAGTTTATTCAGTTGGTCGCACTTAATGAAAAACTAAGCCTACGAAACTTAAACGGAGTAGATTATGCATACTCACATAAGCACGAGCTTGGTACATGTTTCTTGGAGGGCACTTTGTACCTTCGGCATATTACTGCTAGAGTCGCCGTCTAAACCAAGTACGGACTCGATTGACTTAAAACCGGCTTCTAACCTGTCATAGTCATTTGGCCAGTGGGCTTGTTGATGAGTAGGAATGGTTTTCTTAGCTCTGATCTGGTTAAAAAGAGAGTGAACGAGGCTCCTATCATTTTTTACGATAGCGGCGGTGGAAAAGAAAACCAGGCAGCCTGGCGTAGGGGTTCATATTCAATGATTTCTTTCATCTCTAACATGAATATTAGTCTACAAAGATAGAGATGGCATATTAAGGGTCACTCCTTTGGTTTTAATACAATTAAGAAATCTGGGACAAAGGCTCTAATTTTAGTACGAACTAACTATGAATGTGGTGGCGGTACTAAACTTAGCCAGCTTCGTGTTTAATTTTAGGGTAAATCGCATGTACATCAGCAGGCTAGAAGAGCGAAACCAATTTGGATATGAACTTTATGAGTGGATCATGTGGCGAAGAAACAGTGACTGCACAGAAATAGATGCGAGGCCGATTCATCTTAGGTTCAATATTCGGCTCCCGAAGTTCTGGCCGGAACTAGGTTATAACAACTTCACGTAAAGGCTCTTATTACTGTATTAACGGTAGACGCTCTAGTGAATTTTGTGCTTTCCAAGATTTCTGGGATGGTAACAGAGGCAGGGGTTTATCTTGAAAAGTTGGCAACATGGTTTAATTATGGACGAAACATGGAGCACTCAGTTGTAGTAATATACAGGACGCTAAAACTTTATCCGCTATGTAATAAATAAATTAGAATGTCTAAAAATCGGCCAAGATGTCACATAGCAAGATTATGATTAGATTAGAATAATGTAATAAACATTGTAGAAATACCTAATTAGACATTAGTAAGGCTTTAAGCAAACAAGCGCCGACAGTATTGGTTAATGTTCATAATCTGACTCCCCTTTCAAAACTCTTGCGGAACCAGAGAAAACCATCAAATCAAAATCAGTATCCAGATTGGAGGTCCTGAAAGCGTGAGCCTGCGGCTGATACAAATTTTTATTAGCTTGCTCTAATTAAGGCTACGGGACCTGGTCTGTAGGTGGAGCTCTCAGAGGATGGTCGATTTTTGAGCATCGGCCTACCATTTCTACCTACATAAAGCCTCGGGGTTAAGTTTTTGTCCCCATCAGACGTGAAACCCTCTCGGCGTTCTCATATCATTACCAACTACGTATAAAATGAAACCATCTACCGGTACAAAGTCTCTTCTTGGTTACCTAAATATCATTCATGCCTTCATTCCGGGTTTTACGAAGATGGCTAGACTTTTACATCGACTCTTAAATGTTAAAGGAAAAAGCCTTACTTAACTCGTGTACCTCATCGGCAGCCTCGCCGTGATGAGGCCGTATGCCGTTAACATGACTTCATGGCTACAAAACTACTTTAGTAAGTTCGCAAATGCGATTGTGTCGCTGTACACTAACCTGTAGCAGCCTCAACGGTCCATATTCATTCCTCGAGTGAAACCCATGATATGTTAACATCTTGGATCGCATCTAGAGGGCTCGAAGATGCTGCTAGATCCTTCATTGCGAAGGTTAATACCACCCGAAGAAACTATGGAGATAGATCCAGGGCAGTCAAGAAGCCCCCTTCAATTTTTGCCTTACAACGCAGGTTTTTTCATCTGGTTTAAAAAACAACCGCTTCTATGCAAGATCAACGAAGAGGGTACTGGTTACTCCAAATACGAGAATATCTCGGTCACTTGCTTGGGAAGATCCTCAAATATCTTGAAAGCCCTTTTGAAAGAGTGTCAGGATGAATACCTAAACCATATTGAAAACAAAATTACCATATTTGGCCACTGCAGCTCCCAGTGGAGGAAAGAGAAGGCAAAGGATATTAGGCCATTGTCAACTGTCATTCTGAAGGACAGTGAAAAGAGCCCCCTTATCAAAGACATGAAAGACTTTCTCGAGCCACAGACGAGAAATTGGTATTCTCAGCGCCGTCTTCCCTATCGACGTGGATATCTCTTGCACGGACCACCTGGAACAGGGAAATCTAGCTTTAGTCTCTCAATTGCCGGCGAGCTGGGCATGGACATATATGCCGTTAGCATCCCCAGTGTAGACGATCAATCGCTTAAGACCCTGTTTGAACAGCTCCCAGACAATTGTGTGGTTTTACTAGAAGACATCGATGCTGTTTGTTCGGTTTATTCTCGGGAGCTTGGAGCAGATGGCCCCAACAGTGATTCCAAATCGCATGCAGAAAAGAATGGAGTAACTCTTTCCGGGCTTTTGAACGTACTAGACGGCGTTGCCGCACAGGAAGAGAGAGTTGTCATCATGACCACGAATCATATCAAGAAGCTAGACCCAGCGCTTATCCGACCTGGCCGGGTTGATAAGAAGATCGAATTTCAGCTTGCTGACAGGGATGTCGCGACGCAACTCCATCGTTTTATCTTTGATCAGCCGATAGCGCCGTCTTCTGAGAGCACACCTCAAGCAAAAGTCGACCCTTCATCTGAAAGGCAGGCCATTGAGTTCGCTCGTACAGTGCCGGAAGGGGAGTTCAGCCCTGCTCAGATAATGTCATATCTTCTGCAGCACCGACATGCGCCAGGTGTTGCGTTAGACAATGTTCAGAGTTGGATAGAAGCTATGCGTGAAGAAACCAAAAAGGCGAAAGCAAGTACAACCACAACTACGTTTTGACAGTCTACAAACGAGGTCCAAAGGTACCTTTATCAATATATTAAGGGAGACAAACTTGTATGTACCATTTACTTAACCTTTAACTCCTAAAGCTCCAGCACATGAAGTAGAAGTTATTCCAGAATTTCAATTTAAATGAGGAATCCTCAATTGCATCCTAGAATGGTGTTGTTCGCTCCTTCTAGCTACCTACGAGCCATGATTCGTGATTGCCAAGCCGTATTTAGCTTACGTGATAAACTTCCCGATCGAGGATTTTCCTCAAATAGGTTTTAGCTAACATGCATTTCTCATTCGCTTACTCAAGAGAGACTCGCCTTGTCAGGTCAAATGAGATCCAACAACCTAGAACAGAAATCGCCACGTGATTTTACAAAATAATTTGCGAAGGAAGCAGAATTTCTGGTACGCACCGCATTAACTTACTGTACAGTGTTGTTAGATGGTCATGTGAGCCATCTTGTGTGCATATCCCCAGATCTTCCGTAGTTTAGGTTCTTTCTTCTACACGCAAATACAATTTTACAGATCTTGGTCTATCTCTCGTAGATCCTCACTCTGTGCTCTCTTGTTAAGTGTATAAAGCTCTTTCAGATATGCATTATTGTACAAATTTTAATAGCAAGATAGGATTGAAATCCCATAATATCACGTTAAGCTATTAATAGAGCATATTCCGGCTGTAAATAGAAGAACAGCATGCAAGTAGAAGTAAGGTGTCAGTACGTGGTGCTATTTAATGACTAACACGATTCCGAGTAAAAATAGATTCGTAATTTCCTTGAAAATAGTGTCCAATTTGAAGAATTTCAATATTTTTGAATGATGTTGTCTCCCGGGGACATAGTTTCTTTGCCCCTTTTTACGACAGGTTTAAAGACGTTCCGTCCGCTCCGTCTACTTCGAAAAACCTTGTCATCTGTCTAGGTTGCCAAAAGTTAATCAAGAGCAGTCGATTCTTCGACATGAAGCCCGGCCATTGTTTTTCAAAATTACGACGTTCATTAAAGTATGAGCCCCTCCATACCAACGGCTCTGTCGATCTAAAACTTCATTTATGTGGAAGTGGCATCCTGCTCTGTTTTATTAACTATATATGCCGGCATTCTTCATCCACAAGCAATGCGATCACAGCTTTGGTTTCTGTTTTAGCCAATCTCTTTTGTTTTAGGACTTCTGCTTTTTGCCACTACGAGCTCGACTCGAGAAAGCAGGTCCTGTCTTCTACTTCTTGGTGGACTGTATTGGAATTATTCTGTACATATGGGGGACATCCATATCGATGGTGCTTTTAGAGACTACTGATAGTGGAAACAGCAATTTCAATGTCCTGGGAGCAACACTTGCCGGGCTGGTCTGTGTCATTTATCTGGTGACCTGGCCAAAAAAAAGAGACAACGAGTTTTGGTTATTGGAATGTTTGGAGCTTTAGCTCTATGCAGCATCTCACTCTACAACGCTGTTTTCTCAAACATATCTCTACTGACGGGAGCTTATGTCTTAATGGCTTTGGTCAATGGCATCGGAGGGTGGATATACTCCCATGGATCTATTCAAGTCCTGAGTCAAAGTGACGAGCCCTACGTTGTATCGGGGCACTTAATAATGCATCTATGCTCTCTGGCTGCATCAATATTTCACTCTTCAATTCTGGCTTCTTCGGTCTGTATCTGACAAATTTGAGAGCCTATACGCACGAGAATTCGATCCCGTCTATGAGACCAAAGCCTGGCTCAAATATGTGGTGCTGTCTAGTAATTTAAAAAGGGTACATCTTAACATAATAATGTAGAAGGCGAGATGCAGTAGAATTCGAAAACATTTTACTTCTGGGGCACTGACGCTTTGTTTCTCGGGCCGTAATAGAATCGGGGCTTATCCTTACTTGGCCATCTTGTAAAATAATTTTTCCTGTGAGTGGAGATTATCGTACCGTTTATCCGAATAAAGACTCAGTCGGATTCGGGTGTGAGCCAAGAAACAAAGTGTGTGTGCCTGAGGTGTAAACTGTTTTCGAACTCTACTGTAGTGATCGAAGTAGACTGAGTTAGCGAACATGAACTAATGCAGTCTCGCAATAGCCTTTTCACATATTTCGGGCCTCTAGGACGACTCGTCCTCGTAATGGAACCTCGAGAACCGCGGTTCTGAACCGCACCGCACCTCGGAGGTGCGGTTATTGGTGCTAGACCATGGAACCGCGGGGCAGTTCTAATATTTTTGGATCCGAACCGCGGAGGTGCGGTTCGAACCGGAGGTTCCACAAACAGGACAAACCCAAGGAATCCCATGACATGCATAACTTGTGCAAGTTTTGACTGTATTTTTCAGTATTTCGCTTACGGATTAGCTCAAAGGTCAGATGAAAGCTTAGATGGAAGGTATATTATGAAAGGTCAAATCAAAAAAGATTATCATTCTAAATTCTACTAACTCTATGGCTTTTCATACACAAAATCTTCATCTCGCCTTGAACGCTTTGGAAGCCGTCCTGATGAACGCCTCTGAGTGCTGCTCTCTCCATATATATGGATGTTGTCAGGCAGGGGAACTTCATTTTCTTTATCTAGGTCAATCACATGCTCTTGGGCTTCTGTGATGCTTTCTGCCCTTGGTCTTTTACCAAGCGCATGCTCACTCACCAGCTGGACGGTTTGAGATATGGCTGCTGAAGACTCATCCTCGCTGTCACTGATGAGATCAAATTCACACTCTGCCTTCCGAGCATCCTTTTCCTCCCTTGCTGCTTGCGTCTCTTGGGTGGTGAGATAATCATCCATCAGAGAAAGTTGTTCAGATTCCATGTCAAACTTTGTTGTACACATAAACAACATAAGATCCTGGATTGTTTTGGATTTCAGCGAGCCTCGACGGTAGTGACAAATATCACGGGCAGAGTTGAATAACCGCTCAACGCCAGAACCGCTAGCAGGGGTTGTGAGAACGTCGCGTGCTAGGCTTGCGAGTATGGGAAATTCATGCTGATGTTCCTTCCAGTATATCCGTGGATTCACTAGTTGGGTACCTATAACGATCAGCAAGAGAGGTTTGAGACAAAAGGCTAGATGAAATGACTTACTACTTCCGAGATACCGCGAAAGCTCGTCATGGGCGTTATTCTGCGGCCGGAGAGATGCGGTCGAGGTCACGAGGATATCAACATCAGATATTCCTCCTATCAAGGTTTGGCTACTCGATATGGACTGCGTCTCTGAATAGCGCTGCTGGTAGGGCACCAGGCAATTCTCTAAGCTCTTGCGGTATCGAACACGCCAGTATGGCTCCCAGTCCTTGCCAGAAAAGAACTCCAACTTATTTTGTGGCGCCAAGATTGTACCAATCGCATAGAGATCACTATCAATCTCACTGGTCAGCTTATAGTACTATGAGAGCTTCGACCTCGCCGCGTGAATGGCAGATAGCATCACTTTCTTCCAGTCAACCATCTTTCGTGCAAGTTGAGCTCTAGACTTCTCTAAATGAGAGAAGAGGGTGTTGTAGATTGCGAAGACACTGTGGATGGTGATTTCCTTGGTCTTGGAAAGGGATGTAGTGAAGGTAAAGAATGGCTGTGTGATTGAAAGAAGATAGTCAATCTGTCGCCATTCATCGTGGCTTGGTTGTAGCTCCCGGTTGTCATATTGCGAGCAGAAGTCGTTGAGAACAGACTGTAGGCGTTTCGCACGCCGTAGCATCAAGTAAGTTGAATTCCAACGTGTCCGGACATCTTGTATTGGAACAAGCTTTGGCTCCTTGGTCTGAAGGTCTAAGAAATTCTCTCGGCGTTGAGGGCTTTTGTTGACGAAGATCGCAAGTCGTCGAATCTAGTAAACAGTTAGTCGTGGTAATGTTAGAAAGCATATAGTCTTACCTTGGAGAGGGTCTGCACGATCCCGCGGTTCTCTCGGCGCGTCCCATCATCTCTTTTAGACCATTCCATTTCTTCCCTTTCGTTTCTTGGATTTGCTTCCATCTGCCCGAGCAGCTCTTTTAGGCTGAGTTGAATGACATGTGCAATGCATGGCATACGAATGATTGGCATATGATTGGGTAGCTCAAGTGACTGGAGTGTCCCCCGGATGCTATCCATCAACGTTGAGTTATTAGACGCATTATCTGTGGTAACCGTCAAGACGCGGTCTTCAATCCGATGTTTTTGAAGTAATTCCAGCAGAACTGTGCTGAGATAGAATCCTGTATGCGCCCCATGCAGCGGTTCAAAGCCAAGTAATATCTCACGATAGTTCCAATCCTTATCGAGGAAGTAGGCTGTCACTGCCATAAAGGCCTGCCGAAATGGCGAAGTCCAGCAATCTAGTGCAATGGAAAGCTTAGCATCCATAGGAAGCGTCCGAAGAAGAGTATGTTGTCTCTCTTGAACTAATTCTTGAAGTTGATGGCGGACCATATATGCAGATGGTATTTCCGGAAAGGATGGAGCAAGCCAGGCCATTTCAATAAGGGCGCGAAATTGTGGATGCTCAACAAGCTGGAATGGTAATCGGGAAGCAGTCATGAAAGCGATTATCCTCTCTAACCAATCTTGCTGGGTGAAGGTCCTTTTTTGAGGGGCTGGCTTAGCCTGAGCAGATGAAATTATCTTAGTAAATATTGAGAGAAACAGGAGGCATACATAGTTCAACGTACCCCATTATGTATTAGCCTTCTGATATCCTGCGAACGAGGGCCCCAACTTCCGACAATTTACCCCTTGTGAATAGTGCTTATTCATAGAGGATGTCCCACGGTGACGGTCTGCAGGATAGCTAAGGATATGATCACATGTTTTACACATAACCTTCGGAGATCCATCTTCAATAGTAGCTACCTGGTGAAAATGCTCCCAACATTCTGCCTGGTGCTTACTGTCGAAGATATTCCGTTTCGTCTGACTTCCATACTCTGTCCAGAGGAGGTAGGTCTTCTTCTTTCGAGGACCGACGTGCTCGAGTGTCTCGGGGATGGGGGGCGGAAGCGCTGGCCGGGCGAACCCAAGGCTA